TTTCGTAAGACATACTAAGTTCATAATTCTTGACTAGTAATTTAATGTATTCATTAATGTTAACTTTTTATTTTCTGCCTATTAAAATTTTTTACGGCAGATTATTATGTGTGACTTAACTGCAATAATGCTGAGATGCTTGAAAAACTCCGGACCGGAGGTGTCTGCGGTGGGGAACGAACGCGCTGTTACCCTTTCCGGGGGCTAACGCGTTCACCACCACACCATGCGGGTCCTTCGTTTACCCTGTCTCTCAGCTAGTCCTATCGATCAGTGCCATAGCAATCACCCGCCAACGGGATTGAACTGATCAATGGTACTGATCGATAGAACTAGCTGAGAGACAGGGTAAACGAAGGACCCGCATGGTGTGGTGATGAACGCGCTAGCCCCGGAAAGAGTAATAACGCGTTCATTCTCCACCGGAAGATACCTGTGGTCCGGAGTTTTGCAAATAGCTCAGCATTATTGTGGTTACTGTATTCATTGGTTTTTTTGTTTCCAGTTGTTGGGATGCGCAGTAGTTATCGTTTGAAATGAGCATATATAAGAAATACCGAAATGAATTCAATATAAGTAGTAAAATCCTTCCACATGTTTATAGCAATACATTTGACAGGTAAAATATAGTAAACTGTAGCAAATAGTAGCACATGTATCACCCGGTAAGGAGCGTATAACGCAGTGGATAAAGGTTCCCTGTAATAGAAACGTGGCCGTTGGTTCGACCACGCACTCCAGTCTCACTAAGACCCTCATTTCTCCGGGATCGGAAAATTGATAGCATATCTGTCTAGGAGGGTAGCAGCACTGATTGGATAGTTCGGTAGGCCACCGTAAGTCATTACATAGGTCTAATTTATGCATTCAAGCACCTCTAACGGTGCATGATGAAGTCGAATGCGCATCCATCAGGGATTGATCAACGCCGAGAACTTTATCTATTGATTCACCTCTAGATGGATGATACAGAGCATCTTCTACAACTCTGTGGTGTTCTGAACCTCAAATGTTTGCTCTAGTTATCCTCGAAAAAACTACCAATGCTGTGCTCAGATCGCGGACGAGTTTCACTTCTTTTGCATCTGCCATGAAACCAAGGGTGGTTGCTGGTTTGGTAACACTGATGTCGTCAGTTTTGTGTTGCATCCAACCATTACTAAACTTGTTAACTTACGAAGATTAGTATCCATCTCTTGCCTTCTGCCTTGTTCCGTCTTGTCGGAAAGAAATCAGTATCGTTAACTACCACTACTTACTAACATCGACAACTGAGGAAAACGAACTCGATGTTTTATGAGGATCTCTGGGATGTCCTTAGCGAGAAGCCCTTTCTCCAAACTCGCGTAGTACTCCAGTGGTTCACCGTCACCTCGTGGATGGGTCGTGTTTTATATGTGTGTAATTGCGACGTACAGTGAGTTTTTCCAACTGGTAGGATATCTCATACTAAGAAGTTTGATATCTACATTGATAACTTCTGCTATTGCCTGCATCACCTATCCTCCTGTTGATAGTCAAACGTGCGCAAATGAAACCTGCATTTGTTATAGTCATGTGCAAAAGTAGCCTACCGGGTTCTGCTTGCTCAACGGACTGACTGAGCAACATATCCTTTTTACAAAACCTTAGAAGAATGTTCTGACTATCGGGTCGGTGATCTTCCTGTTGTGCGCTTGACATTCCCTGTGGTCCAGTTGCTAACGGCTCTGGTCCATCGGTTAACGTTACGGTCCACCTACTTTCGACATTTTGGCTGGTTTAATGGCGCCTACAATCACCAATTATAGACGCCATTAAAGCAAATTATCGCGAGAGTACAAAAGACCGCTCTGTCTCCCTTTCATTGATCTAAAGAAGGCTTTTAGCTCAATTGAGATAGAAGCAGTCATGGAAGCCCTTGATAGTCAAGGAGTCCCTACTCAGTACATAAAGATTCTTCGTGAGCTGTAAAAAAATTTCACAACCAAGATTTCACCATTCTACAACGATTGACGTCAATAGAGGAGTTAGGCAAGGTGATACCATCTCGCCAAAATTATTTACCGCCACCCTCCAGAACGTCGTACGAACATTGGAATGCGATAATATGGGAGTGAAAATCGATGGTTAGCAGTTACATTATCTTCGCTTTGCTGATGACATCGTCTTTATAACACCAAACATTAGCCAAGCGGAACGTATGCTTGCTGACTTTGATAAAGCCTGTGGAAAGATCGGTCTTCGACTAAGTCTCACAAAAACGATGCTATATGAGGAACGAATTGGTTACGTATGTTCCATTCACGCTTAACGGAACGAATATCTCCGAATACTTCAGTCATGTCTATCTAGGTCGGGAAATCACTTTTATGAACGACTTAACTCCAGAGCTGAGCAGAAGGAAACAAGTGGCCTGGGAGAGCTTTCAAGAGCATCAAGAATGTGGTAGGGAGGACAAAGAACACCCAACTCCGTGCCCACCTTTTCGACTCAACAGTATGCGTAAGCAGGATAAAAGGTCACTCAGCGTTATCGAGCGCGCAATCGAAAGAGCGATGCTGGGAGTATCCCGTTTCACACAAGTAAGGGATCTGAAGCTCCGACCTGCATCAACGATCAAAAATTAAAGATGTCGTTCTGTACGCCAAACAGTCGAAGAAAAGATGAGGCGGACACGTAATGCGTATGAATGACAACCGATGGACAAGAACCGTTAGTGACCGGATTCCTCGGTATGTTAAACGCACTGCAGGAAGACCACCGACTCGATGGTCAGAGTTCCTCACAAAGAGCGTTGAAGAAAGATGTGATGCTCGACGAGTTCCTAGAGCGAGCAGAAACCCACTGAGCTACTTTCGCACGCGAGAGAGAAAAGTGGAGGATTTGCTGGGCAGGAGGAAGTGAACAGCTTGAGTTCAAGAGCGTCGGATTTGTTAACAATTACCGATTGTCACCTGTATCTTCTGTCATCCCGTTGATTGTCAAGTGACTCGAGTGGGTGCCGAGAAACCTTTCATTTATAATGAATACAATGAATAATATCGAATAGAAGCAGCCTTTTTGATAATTCTCTCATTGAATCCCCGTTAGTTGGCTAAATGCGTTACGTAGCTCTGTGTAATATGGTTTGCATCGCTTTCTTAGATATGATGGAAATATCGTCAAGGTTTGCAAGGACCTCCGCACTGCTTCATTCCGGACTCTAATCCACCAACAGTCTTCTCACTGAACGTATAATTTCGTGTTTTAAGCTATTCTTCCATCTCAGCGAGTTTTGAAATGAAATTTATGTTCTGCGACATATCTGTTGACCTCTTATTTACCACCTACTATAATTGTTCATGGCAGAATATTATGAGGAATTCAACCACAATGGTGCTGAGATATTCGCAAAACCTGGGCACCAGGACCTTCCTCAGGGGTCGCGCGTTCCACATTGCACCAGCGGACCCTTTTTCGGGGGTCGCGCGTTCCACATTGCACCAGCGAAGCCCTGGCTTTGTCTTTCTCTAAGCTAGCTTTCTACCTAACAGCACCGTCAGCACTTCTAGTGAGATGTTCAAACAGAAAGGTTTCGTGGTTTATTATTACAGATACTAGTATGTCCTTAGGTTGTTATTCTAGTCAATCCTTAATCTCCGTCGCATCAATTAATCTCGAGCGTTTCTGGTTCATGTCGATTTTGATGCTAACCAGGAAAGAACAAATGCCGTCTTATTGATGTAGAATCCATACTTTTCATATTCAAATTTTACTTTAAGAGAAATGAAACGGTGGGACGTTGGGCCATAACATGGCCAAGGGTCGTAGAATATATACCTTCAAGTGAATATAGCGAGTAGTAAGTAGGGTTAAACAACCTAATTGAGTTCACTTTAAAATGAATGGTCTTATGGAAATCAGTGGTTTGCAGATAATTCAAACTGTCTTAAACCAAGAAAGAAGAAAAGTGAGTATGACAGGAGGAAAGTTGACAAAGCGCTCACTTACCTCTTTGGGATCGACAAAGAATCTTCGAGAAGGATGCAGTACTCGAATACCAATGGCAGTAACTGAATGGTTGTTGTGGACGATTACGTGGGCTCGCGTTCACCTCGCCATGCCGTCTAAACTGCTCTAGATCCTCCCCAGTAGCAAACAGCTTCTACTTTTCTTTCGATTGAATAAATGACGAAAATCACTACATCATCGAAAGCTACGATGTTTTCGACGGCACATTGGATTACTAGTAGGACCATTACCACTTTGCCACGTTACCACCTGCCTTTTCCAAGGAGACGTTGCATCGCCAGTATTATTCGTAGACACTCAGGTACGAAGTTTAGTTGTTTTCGTACAAATATGCTTCATCTAGTAAACTGTCTTACTCAAGAGTGTAACTGGTACGATCATTAGCATGGCTTATGAACTTCTTCATCTTTCGCAACCCTGTTAATGACGACTTCGGCCTGCTGTGTTATGTGATCCCACTTAGCTTAGGTTTTCTTAGCGTTCAATAACCTTCAATAGAAGTGAAATTATCCTCAAATAATTTTTTGATGGGCTTTCCGACCCAATTATCCTGGTTCGTCCTGGACTGTTAAGCGAAGTCGATATTTATTTGGCTTGCGTTCCTCGACATCTTCATCAGATCTTTATCAACCTCCTCTTAGGACAATCCAACTAGGTACTGATTATTACTAGCGAGGTTAGAAGGCGGTGAGTTTGAAGAATATTTTGGTTCTGTTTTTCATAATATTTTGTAGATTCCGTTTGTTGTAGAACTTCGTCTTCCCTCCTATCCTCCTCTTTTTCACTTCCAATTTCCTGGATATCGATTATTTCCAAGTTGCTTCTGACCGAATTGAACCAATGCTATCGTGATCCACTCGAACCTTTTGCTCCAATTCCAGTTTTACCCATTCTTTACTTCTATTATTTTACAAGACCTTCTCTGATTTCCTCCTTAGTTTCAGCTTATGTATTCTGTTTGATTCGTACTTTTCTGCGCTAAATTTTCCAACTAACTAAAGCTTCAGATGCGGATTTCGATCACGCAGTTCATGCGATGGACAAATCCAGTGAGAAATGTGGTGAACGGCAAGTGGACGACAACGCATTACACAGTCAAGGTTAGTTTTTACAATGTTCGTTTAGTGTTCCACAGTGATTTTCTCCATTATATTCAATTATATCGCTTCGCTTAATATCCTGAAGTGATTATGCTTCACTTTCATCTGAAAATAGTTCAAATTCTATGGGTTTTGAGATATTCGCAAAACTTGGACCCTAGGCCAGAACGAACCACGATTACCCTTTCTGGCGGATCGCATGTTACACGCTGCTATCAGCAATCATCCGTCACCAGGTTTGATCTGGGGAGCACAAATCGTCATTGAACCTAGTCAAGCTGAAGTTGTAGTTGGAACTACAAGTTGAAAATACAGTTAAAATTCTATGGGTTTTATCGTGTGAAGTATTCAATAGGTGATAAAGTACCACAATCTCCTAGTTTTCACAGGCTGAAACCTAAGCTGGGAGCAACGATTCTTAGGGACATTCAAAACGACCGCAAAATTTATTCTTTCATGGTAATACCAGTGGTCCACTCGCATTCGTAAATCAAGTGCAGAGCGTTGTACTGGATCGTTTCTTGGGCTGTTCCACTCCGCCTTCTGGGTTATGGAAATCGCTTTTCAGATTTTGGTGCTTGCAAACTTCTGCTTCATTGTTGTGCCGTTGAACGTTGTTATGCTAATTTCTGACAATGTTGGTTGAAGAAATAGTTGTTGGACTAATGCTCTTACAGGATCGTTCGAGTGATCCTCGTTGGAGGGATATAGACATGTCAAGAGAGAGTGATCAGTACGATGTAGTGATAGTTGGTGCAGGACCGAGTGGGCTTGCAGCAGCAATAAGGCTGAAGCAAAATGCGGAAAAGGACGGTAAAGGTATGTTTGTTTTGGAATTGTCATCCATTAAGGTACAGTTGTTCTTAACGTAGCAGTAGTGTCATTCCATACGGGGAGATCTAACACACATACTTAATTTATTGGCAGAAGTTCGTGTTTGTGTTGTGGAAAAGGCTCCTGAAGTTGGTGCTCATATATTGTCCGGAGCTGTGATCGAAACCTGGGCGCTGGACGAGTTGTTTCCAAATTGGAAAGAAATGGGTGCACCGGTTCACCAAAAAGTTACAGTAAGATGGTTCTCCACTTTCATTGCTTTTTGTTATGCTTCTGCGAAGTTGTGTATTTCAGTCGGAATCGGTTAGTCTTTTAACAAAGAACTCGCGCATTCCCATCCCTGTGTTTCCCGGAATGCCACTCTACAATGTCGGTCTGGTTATTCTCGGATAATTCGGGCTTATAGTGTCGTTTTTCTAATAGTTCTGGATTTCTCGTTAACGAATTTAATTTGAGGCAATTATATTGTTCGGCTTGGTCATGTCATACGATGGCTTGGAGAGCAGGCTGAAGCAGTAGGTGTCGAGATTTGGCCCGGAGTAGCTGCTTCTGAGGTTATTTTAGGACTATTTCTTTGGATTTTAGTTTGATCTCGTACACTTCACTCTCAGATATTGTACAGTGAAGATGGAAGCGTGAAAGGCGTTGCAACGAACGATGTTGGAATCGCTAAAGACGGCTCTCCGAAGGTACTTTCGGTGTGTGCTATAACATTTACATATCATTTACTGTACACTTCAGGATGGTTTCGCTCGGGGTATGGAACTTCATGGAAAATGCACAATATTTGCGGAAGGTTGTCGCGGACATCTTACAAAGCAAGTGAGAGTACATCTACTGTAGCACTCGTTATTTGTCAGCGATTTAATCCCACTAAAGTTGAAAATAAAACCAATGTAATTTTTTTTTCATTGTCGTGCTTTTCGTAACTCTGACTTTTATATTGAAGCTGGTTTCAGATACTGAAGAGGTTTAAACTCAGTAGTCATGCAATGTCGTTTGGTATTGGATTAAAAGAACTATGGCAACTGGATCCATCCAAGCACAGACCAGGTCACGTTGAGCACGCTTTAGGGTGGCCATTGGTACGAAGAGCACTATTTTTCGTCCTTTATTTTATCAAAGGATACATATCAAGTGTAAAAACGATATCAACACAAGAAGACAAAGAGAAAGAGAGAAAGCCGAAACGAAGGACGAGCATGGTGGTGGTGAACGCGTTAGCTCCCAGAAAGGGTAGTAGTGTTTTCGATCCCCACCACAGACACCAGCCATCCGGAGTTTTGCAAATATCTCAGCATTATTGTGGTTAATATCAATACACTCGGGACGATGTATATGGATGCAAGAGAATCTGGCTTGAAAACTTTAGGCATTCAAATCTCAGCGCTGTCAAGGAACTTTATTAATTAAAACGAAGCATTTAGAATCAATATAGTCTCTGCCGCAGCACAGGCTCATATATTCTATCCCTAGGAAAAAAATTTCCGGGGCTGAAGAGTCATTTCTTCACTTTCTATTTTCGCTGCTCCTATTCCGAACATCGAAGAGATTGAAGCGGCGGTTACTCACGTAGAAAATTGCCAGTTTCTGAGCATATCGTTAATTAATTATTCGATCAAAAGAGGCATGTTAAGGCGACAGTAATGTTTTCAAGAAATTTTGTATGTCCTTAGAGCGACAATGAGTTTTCAAGCCTCAGGTACCCAAATGCATTAATTGGGTTATTATCGGCAGCTATCGAGTCGTCCCGAATGTGTTAGATGCGCACATGTCAAATTTCTTATGTATCGAGCATTCGAACCGCAGCATTAGCCATCGCACATTTTGAATCAAAGAAAAGTGGCCTGCTCGAGATTTATTTCTTTCAGTTCTTTTATCGTTTTGTTGTATTATTTGTCTCCTAGACAATGGATCAGTACGGTGGTTCCTTCATGTATCACATGATCGATGAAGAATTGCCGCTTGCGTCAGTTGGCTATGTGGTGGCTCTTGATTACAGAAATACATACATTAATCCTTATAAGGTACACTCATTGAGTGTTGTCTCAATTTTAATTGTTCTACGACACCTTTTCTTTTTCGAGGTGAAATCCTCCTCCATTTTACTATACGGTTTCTTAGTTTCTTAAACATGAAACAGTCATTTTAAGGGTTGTCGATTTATGCTAATGTAGGTTATCGTTAGGAGTTCCAACGGTGGAAGACACATCCGTCAATCAGTAAGTATCTAGAGGGAGGCAAACGAATAGGTTATGGCGCTCGTGCTCTAAACGAGGGAGGATTCCAGTCGATTCCAAAACTTGTTTTCCCTGGTTAGTCTTTCGACATATAAACGCATGTTAACAATGTCTTCTATGGCAACCACACGTATGTTTATAAATATGTAGGCGGTTGTCTTGTGGGGTGTACTGCTGGTCTTCTCAATGTTGCGAAGCTGAAAGGAACTCACACAGCTATGAAAAGCGGAATGCTCGCTGCAGATTCGATCTATCCTTTACTCAGTGAGGAAACCTCTTGTGCGTTTGCCCTGTTTCTATTACTTAAAAAATTCTCCCATAATTATTTTACAAGTTTGTTGATTAGAAAAATTGCTACAGACAAAATCTCATTATGTTTAACTCTTCTAGTCCTTTCTCTCCCTTTCTTCTTCCCGAATTGAAATTTTCATTAAAGGAAAGTGGTGATTGTTTGCTTGGTGATGAGTACATGAAATGAGGCATCATAATTTTTTAAATCGTGGAAAAATCGTTGAAATGAAGTTTACGACTATGAAATCGTAAGCAATCCACCAGAAACGACGTCTTCGACCGCTCGATAAATCGCAAATCCACCATTATAAAAGTTGAGAAATTAAAATTGAGATTCAAACTTACGGACTACCATTTTCCAAGTGCTTTCATAATTCTCAAGGTGTTCGTAGTGCTGAGAGCACCTCGTACAGGAAATTTTTCATCAATCAAGATGCAACTACAGATGTGTTCAGAGGATTCGTAGATCCCAGAAACGCAAACTTTTTTTTATGACGATAGGATAAGTGGAGTTCTATCTCTTAGCAAAGGTATTTAGATTCTAATGGTTTTTATTTCGACTAATAAAGTCCATTATGAGCTTAGACATGCGTATTAAAAATTGTAGGTTGGAATTGGACAAGATTTTTGCTCGAGTCTAATGATTTTGTACTTATATGAATATAGTGTGATCCCAGCTCAATTCGAATGTGTCGTGTGAAATTCAAGTAGCTAAAGAGATACTATCGAGCGGTTCCGTAGGTGGTACGCGTTGACGTGGGTAGGTGTCAATTCATCTCATGAACTTTATTATCCACTGCAGTGCGCTGATAAACAGCTTTAGTGAGAGGTTTTACGCTTTTGGAATCCTTTACTGTATCGTTGGGAGTGTGAAGTCACCACAGAATAACGTCCTGTTCTGTTAATCAACCTACACAAAGTTGTTGTGATAAGAGGTGTTCGTCTTCAGAATCAAATTGATTTGAGTCGATTTTCCGTAGCCATTCATTCTTCCGATCCAGATCTTCTTGATCGCATCATGTCGAACCCTGTGGAACACAGCTCGAATGAACTCTGGGTGTCGTTTTATAAAAAATTGACTGATTACTAATGCTATAGCCTAACAGCTCATGTAGGTTCATGAATAGAGGAAATTATTGGTTGTTCATACGGAGGTTAAATGAAAGACGGTTTCCAAAATTACTGTTTCGCTACATCCCAGCTAGCGTAATAAGGACTGCTGCAAGATGAATCGTCGTTACGAAAAGAATTCATTATCAGTCGACATTTGCTCAGAAACCGTTCTGTATAAAAGGATACCGCCGAGTGAGGTTCCTTCATTCGCACGGTGCTCCACAGGATTCGATTGGATCCGATTACGAAAGCCCACACCTCACCAACCTCCAAATGCTGGCCGGATAGAAGTTGTATAACAGGCTCATATAAGCTCTTGAATAGAAAAAGAATAGCTCCCAAGTCCGACTTTCTATTAACCTCGGCATGGATTGAATAATTCTTTCTATATCTGTTCAGCAAACACGAGTTGTTACCTTATTTCTTTATTAACGTACAAGCTGACATTTCGGCGGATTTCGCCTTCCTCAGAGCCTGGAAAGGTCAAGTTGACTACAACCTACTCGACCAAACACCTCCATAACCAAACAGAGAAAATGCTGAACCAAAGTTTCAATCACATTGAACATAGAGTCCTTGCACACTCACCGCTTTCTATGAGTCTTCCACTCAAAATGTCACGTGGAGACCAACTGCACAGAGTTCACACGGAATCGTTTTATGCCCATCTCATCAAAATAACAGGGTTACATGCTGCCCAATATCACGCGTGGTAATGAGGCATTCCTCCCTGAGGTTCATTTTCGGATTCTTGAAATTAATCCAGAACGCCTCTAGAGTTTTGAGCTCTTGTGTTCTCGGTTCTTGCGCGAGGATCGTAAGCTCTACTTCAAAATCTTCTCCGTTATATCTCTGCGTTCTATGCGTGCCTAGTGGAGTATTTTGGTTTATTTTTACCGACTAGGTGTTCTTTTATACGTACACAGAGTGGTCTACCTGTTTCGCCAACTTATTCGTCCCCACACGCTTTACAAGAGATCAGATAGACTGTACTCGAACTCATACAGTCACCGTCTCTACTATTGGGGTAGAAAAAGAATATTTTTGATCATTCATAACCAGGTCAAATGAAAGTAGGTTTTCGTAAAAAAGAAGTTACCATGCAGTTTCTATAGCAATCTGATAGGTTTCTTAGGTATTGTATGTCCACTTTTTATTCAGTCGCGGTCCTGCAACATTATGTATGGTTGGGTATTATGCAGTCAGTGAAGTGGAATTCCATGATAATTCTCACCTGGGCCTACCTATGCTCTTGATCAACACAAAACCGTCATAAATGACAGTACTTCACAACTGTGATTTTTTTCATCTGCTTTAAATAACCTCCATTGGTCTGCCCATGACAAGGTTTTCTCAGAACGTTAGATAAAAAATCTTCAGCAACCACGAAGTGCTATCTAAGTAGGAAGTTTGCTGGGTGTCACACGATTCTTCGATATTTTTGCTCTGTCTAATTAGTGAGCAAAATAACAGGTTATTTTCAACTCATTCATTTCATCCTCATTTCTACGTTGTTTTAGGTATCACTCCTGCTTCCTACCAGAAGGCATTTGAAAGCAGTGGTATTTATAAGGAGCTTAAAACAACTCGCAATGTTCGTCCTTCTTTCAATACTTTTCTTGGTAAGTTTCATTGGTTTGGATTAGGTTTAGTCAGGCCTTAAATCTCATCGTAAAGGTTGGTTTGGTGGTTTGACGTATAGTGGATTGTTCTACGTAATCGGACGCGGTGTAGAGCCATGGACGCTTCATCACGGAAAGGAAGATAACAAAAAACTGAAGAAGAAAGAAGATTGCAAAGTATGAGATTTCACTTTCATTTGTTTCATTTTAGACTGAACATTTAATATAAAAGATTCTTTTAGCCAATCGAATATCCAAAGCCGGACAACAAGATATCTTTCGATTTATTAACATCCGTTGCGCTTACCGGTACTAATCATGAGGAGAATCAACCAGCTCATCTTACTCTCCTAAATGACGATGTTCCCGTGAACGTTAACCTTAATGAATATGATGGACCAGAACAACGGTTCTGCCCTGCTGGTTCGTTGGTTTGAAAACGTACATTTTCGTATTTGCTGACATATTAGATTACATGGAAAGTAATGACGACTTTAGTTGTCCGTTGCGAAATAATATCACAATTGAGCATCCCTACGGGATTAATCAATACCGAGTGCTTAACGCTTTATTCGCTTAAAACTGCATAAATGCCTATATGACCTTCGGTTAATGGTCGGTTGAGTAGTCGCTGAATTGTCTGCCGTCACAAAAATCACTGTAATCCTCGAAGAATCTGAGTCGAAAAGCAGTTAAATCAACATCCGGTACACGAGCAGCACTGAAGGCCTGTACTGAAGACCTGAGAACACTGAAGCCCGACTGTCTTAGGATTACAGACAAATCAAACTTGATCAGCATCCAACATGCCGGTAGGTGGAGAAGATAGTAGATATTAATGTCACAGCCGAACTAACTCAGAAATACGATAGTTTTCGAAGACGACAAGTGCAACAAGGCAATGACAAATGTTAGAGGACTCACACGACTCATCAAGTAACTAAAACGAGCAATGGTTGACCGCGTCTTTTAAATTTTTTCAGCGGCTTAGGAACCTTGATAGTAATTCTGCGAATTCTGCTTGGTAGAGTACGCTTCTGTCTACTATGGACATTCTGTTTTTATACGATTCTGCTTTACGAGCTCAAATATGGTGGTACAACAACGTAAATAGCTAAAAAGATGAATATTACATGAAAATGGTACAGGCAGTGATTGAGCGACTCAGAAATTGTTCAGTAAGTCAACAAGAAGTCAATAGCATGGAATGATTTTCCGGAATGGTGAGGGCGATCTCCGACAGTGCTTCGTAATATACGCAAGAAGCTCGGAAGTGTCTCCGGAAATCTATGGTAGTTTCATTGACGAATGTCTCCAAGCCGGAATTCTTCGTCCGGACTTGTTTAAAATTCCTTAACGAGCTGCTGTACACAAGACGATGAAGAAGCCCGGAAAATGAATTCGTCATTACGTCACGGATAGTCAAATGCTGCAGCAATTGGGTATTATCGTCTTACCTTTTGCACTGTGCTCCACTGACTCACTCTTTCCCTAAGGCGGAAGTGCACGCAAAAAAGACAATGATCAACTTATAGTGGTTTTAACAGGAATAATGGATTTTTATTTCATTTGGCTTGGTGATACTATTACAGTAGAATTATGGTACAGCTAAAATTCACCCCAAACTGAGCTTAGCCAGCAATGGTCGCAAGAAGCTTGTACACAGAAGTTTGAAGAGTTAATACAAGCCACCAATTTTCGCCGAGTTATGGATGATTGCGACTGTGACAACGCAGTGGTTAGTGATGCCGTTGATCAGGAAGCAAAGGCGCTAGTTCGATCTCCGCCCAACGCTTCCCTACAATTCACGTGGGAATGCATTAGCCTGGCTACATCCAAAATTGTGAAGAGAATCGGCTCGACCAGCACTCTAAGAGAATCATAAAGACGACAAAATCCTCAAACAGCAACCGAAAGAACGCGTGAAGTGTTTGAAGACCATTGTGATTGTTGGATGCGAGGAAAGGAATCGAATGCCAGAAGTGTTGGGATCCACACGGTAGATGTGATGACGGATCATGTAATAAATATAATAAAATAATATGGATGATTAAAGGTAGCGATAGCCATCATTACAATCTCTGTTAGTCGTCAATGTGTTACCTTGTTCTACATGTTGTCGATCCTAGGTAGTATATGTAATACCTCAGGTGTGTACGAATACGTTCAAAGAGAAGACAACCCATCAAAAATGCGACTACAAATCAATGCGCAAAACTGCATTCATTGCAAGACGTGCGATATCAAAGATCCTACTCAGAATATAAATTGGGTGACTCCTGAAGGAGGGGAAGGACCAAAGTATTCTGGTATGTGAAGATATTGTATATTCTAAATTGTTATTGCCAATTATGTGATTAAGTCAACAGTAGCTATTCTTGAACTCGTTAGATCTTTTCATTCTTTCTTTTCTATGCTAGATTTGACCTAGTGCTATATGTGAAGTGCATTGGACTTCGTCTGCCAACGATAACAATTGTTGATAACCTTTATTGAAATTGTTCTAACGTTAAATTCCTTTTTACCTCACAGAAGAATAAAAACTATAAACCTAACAATCTGTTTTGTCTGCAAACGACATTTCTCACCAGTTTCTGCACTAATGCAGAGGTTTCCCATTGTAATTCTTACAAGGTTAATTAACGAAACCATAAAACAATGAAGCATTTAGCGAAGAAATATAGACATATAGTCTCACAGTGATATTCCTACCGGAGAACTGAGTCAGTGAATTGGTCCTACTTCTTTCATGGGTTTACTATCCAGCATAAGGCAGTAAAACACCGCGACATCAAATTCTATTCTACATGAAGGAGATCAAAAAAGGCAAAAAATGTGTTCTTAAGGAGAGGGTTATATTTGTTGGAAGGATATTAAGGCGTTACTAGACCATGGGCATCACGTTCATTACATAGAATCTTTTGACAACGGCTGATCTTGAGCAGCTCCATCCGCTTCATCATCTCGTAATACTCGAAACCACGTTGAGAAACCTTTTACCTTAAATTGAGTACTGTGAAACTGAACATAAAGACCATGGGAGTTCGGTAACCCATAACGGACGCATGTAGTTTGGAGTGGCTCTTCGGATGGAATACGAGTAATTTTTCTTCGGCTGCGGACTCTCTGGTTTTTTGACAGTTAAAAAGAACTTTTCAATAGTAGAGTGGTTTAGAGGTTATGAACACGACAGAATTGTAAAAGAGATCCTATAGGTATGAGTGATATTTATGTTACTATTTACTGTGTATTACTACGGTCCACTATGTAAATACATTGGCCTCATCACTTGGAAGTGTTTTGAACCCAATGAGTTTATCTGTTTTTCGTAACTGAACATACCATGGAATGACAGTAGTAATTAAAACGAAATAACAGCTAACTGTTAGTCAAAATAGCGGCTAATGAACTTCTTCGTAAAAAGTCTTTTGTAAATGATTAAGTGTAGAGAATTGTTTCTTTGTTCTCACAACTATTATTTTGATATACCTTCGACTAGCTATCGAATGAATGTACATAGTGCGGGAAAAACACTCTGGAAGGCGCTAAACTGAGAATGGACACTGTGGTGTTCACACAGTCCCTTGGTTCAAACGCACATGGACAATATAGTGTCCATACCGTCCGTTATGGGATAGAGATCGATGACGCAATAGGTCATGTAAGGCAGTAAAGTTTAACACCTTGGTGATCTGTTCTCGGTCCGGAGCACTCAACCACGGTGTAGAACTTTTACTGTTGCCTTGATTCGATGAACCGTCGTCGTCCACTTCATGAAAGAAAAAAGAACTAGGATTGATAATTGACTCCTAGTAAACAATGTACCACAATGGCCTCTTCATTTTTCGTCCTATGTCACTTTACCTTGCATAATAATAATAACTATAACTTCCACAACATAGACAATACCTCATCAGCCCAGAAATCACTTCACAGCAAAAGAGTTCTACTAGAAAAGTGGATGGGAAACAATTGTAGAGAATATTATCTAACACATTGGTGAGAACAGGAGTTTATATGACTAATACGTGTATAGAGAAAATAGAGACTGCTTCCAACTCTGAACAGTCACATCTGACCTTGGTGAATTTTACCTAGTTAAATAAAAACCATTTAGGTCCACACATCCCTGCCGAGAATGCAAAATGTTTGTTTCTCTACAGCTTTCTCCAGGGGTCGTATCTATATAGTACAGTGAAGCCATTTAGTGAGATTTTGTATAGCAAAACGCAGTACTGTTCACTGATGCTAGTGGTTTCGTCTGCAACACTTTCGTTGAAAAAAACATGGAAGTCTACATTTCGTCTTCTGTTTTTTTGCAGAAATTGAGTTTCAAGCAGATTTAGAGGTTAGGAAAATTTCGAAGAAGACTATTTGTACTACGATGATGGTAATGCAACACTTCCAGTAGAAGTATGTCAAGTTCCTAAGTCCTCAACTATGTTAGATGTCGAGAAATACGTGTTAGCTGACCAAAACTAGCTGTCGATGCCACTGTGTTGAGTTATGACTTGTTTTTAATCAAAAGTAAAACCTACTGAAGACGTTTCTGTAAATTCCTCTGTTGCTTCTTCAGCATTTGTCACGCCACCTCTGAACCAGTTAGACACGCTATGTCGCACTCTGCTGCTAGTTTCTCCTCAAATAACAGTATATGAAAACATGCTCCAGAAGAGCTTAATGGGCCAAATTTTCTTCTTAGGAGTACGCCCTAACCAATATTCCTTCCCGTAGAAGAAATAGCGCTGAGAGCTTTTCGGGCACCTTCAGATCCACCCACAGCATGTTCCATTCTCAGGAGGACATCGTATACTCCCAACTGACCAGAAAAGGCATGACTAAAATATACAGTTTCGAATATGATGCAATGAATCTGAAATTACGTTAGAGAAAGAAGATACCCGGGAGCAATCCCACTGAGATCTTCATGTGAACCAGTCATCCATATCTGGTAATTCCTGGAAAAAAATTGGAATAGTTTTCAACTCATCGTTGCAATTTAAATAACCTAACCGTGTAAACCTCCAACTGTGAATGAATGAGACACCATAATCTGCAACAGCCACTGCTAAATCTGATCGCGAACTCGCTCCCATAGAAAGGAGATATTCCCGCATTTGCATTCGTAACCATTCGTCGTTTCCCTCAAACACTGTAATTCTTTGATTGTTGGAAGTATAATATTATTGAAAATCAATGTCAACTAACTAGCAGTTGATCTTCGGTTTTCCTCGATGTTCTTCAAGAGATAGTCACCAAAACGAAGATCAGCGGAGGTGAGAGTTAATTCTCGCTTAAGACTTCCGTCTAGAAATTCAATTTGCCCGCAGTCTTGATCATCAACCTGATGTGTAGATACTACGGATAGATACAAACTGATGAAGTGCCAAGAAATTAAAAGAAATAAATATGTTCTTTTTTGCAACTTGTCCTCTCGTCGGTTACGAAATGATTCGGACAGATACCACCAAAGTTCTCTTCAACTCCCACGTACCCTCAGTTTTTAAATGAGTTCTGCTCGCTCTAAAGACGCGAAGAACATCATGTTCTTTTAGTAGTTCTTCAACCCTAGACCAATACTTCTCGGCTGCTGTCACCCAAAACGCGTTACATCTCCATAGAATTTGATTTCTGACATCTTGGTAAACGTAGTAGCTTCAGTACATAGTTCCGATGCTCTGAATTCCTCTTCTTTATCTTTCTCTACCACCTGCATGTTTGAATTGAGACACCAAAAGCACCAACTCTCCATACATATTTGGATAGCGCCTCATCACTGATCGCATGGGCCTCAGCATTATTTCCACTTATTCGGAGCTTTGCTGATCTAGCCACTGTGGTTCCCTGGAGTCCCAAGGTTAGCCTGGGCTAAGTCTGCCCGACGTCTTCACCATCACAGGTACTCGGAACCCTCGTGGATCAGAGGGAGATTTGCTACCATGCGACTTTGATACCAGGACGGTGATGGATCCAGGTATTAGTTTACTCTTAGCTAGGCTTCCTGATCGAAAAACCGGACTCCTCAACTTGGGAGATCCTACTGGGCGGATGAATCTTCCCGTTGTACGTCGCAACCCGACACCCAGACACACCTCCCAACCACGCTGAGGCGATAAAACTTTGGGAGGATTTCTCCATAGCGAACTCGATAATCGCATTTGTTTATCTTGTTCAGAGAGCGTCTGCATTCCTAGGCGTACGTTAACACTCTGGACGATAGCCACTGTTGCTTTTCTGCCATAAATGGACGACGTCTAGTCTTCAACCTTCACGTACTTGCTGGTTTTTTAACAACAGACAATAATTTTTTCGACAATAAGAGGATTTGAGTAGTTGTGAACATGACAAGATTCTTGAAAGTACTTCGGTCTATTGTACTATGGGTATGAATAATGTGCATGATGCTATTTCCTGTATTTTGTTACAGTCCAACATATGAGAACATAGCTGTCGGCATTTCGAAGTGTTGTGCAACTTTAGCGTCTCTATTTCAGCATCTTTTATACCTGCACACTTAAATGTGATGACTGCGGCTCGATATTGCAAATGGAATTGAAATAGTAGCCTATCTGGTCAGTGAACTCGTTCAGAAAACGGCTTTTGCATACTTCTAAGTGCAGAACATAGCCTCTTCCGACCAACATCTCACACAACATCTTTGTTCTACAAGCGATAAACTGATTATGGGAAGTGTAGGAAAACAGTTCTATGCGCTAAAACAAACCACCGAAAACAAAATGGAACCTATATACGTCATACTGCTCACTCCTGCAACTTCGAAATAACTGCTATAGAGGTCACTCATCGCGAGAGTGTTAAACCGGGAGGAACAGTGGAGTCAAAGAGAGGATTGTCGTGCTTAATGCGTTTTTTCTTGTTTAATATGTCCACGATGCTCCTGTAATTTCTTCAGGCCATCCGATCACTTCTGCCTTCTATCTAGGCCGTTCATTGTATTGAACTCCTCACCCACCACTAATAGTAGTGTTATAAGAACTATGTTGTCAACAAACTCATTCAATAAATTCTACCCTCACGATCCCACGACGACGATCTCGCTGTGATAGAGTGAAATCCTAGTTGCGAAGAGTGTGTTGTTCAATAAGGATCTTTTGATACTCGTTGACCTTTGCCAGGTCCATGGAACTGAGAAATGGCCATCTTAATAAAGTATGTGATCAATAGAAAAAGCTTACCGTTATAATGACATCAATCAGATCCCTTTTCGTAACAAAAAGGACATTCGTCGCTCCAATCGCAAACCCACGAACCGATTTTGATCTTATCATATCCAAATAAGAGAGGGAGACATATGGATGAAATAAGTTGCCCTGCAAACGATTGAACTATATTAAAACTCTGCTTTGAGTATTTCATAAGCCTTTGAGGGATGTGGCCTGTCGATAACTGAAACTGCGAGCAGAACTTACATTAGTAAAAATACTTAGCGGGAAACCTAAACTGTCCTTTTCCAGAATTGGTCCCTTGTCAAGAGTTATTGAAGAAGAAGGAATTATGATCTCAGGGATATCCTTCGCATTCTCTGTAGAAATTATTTCATTTTTTTTTCGAAAATGACATGGGATCTACGAAACAATGGGGAATGCAGGAAACTAGGAAATCATACGCTCCAAAAACGTTAACTATTCTTTTACCTGTAAGCTTCGTCATGGGTTCTATTGCTTCCTCTATATCGCAACTCGGAGTTGAACAATAGCGAAGGCCTTCCTCTAGTAATCCTGCGAAAACACCATGTAGAATCATTGAAAGCCACAGCGACAATGTAAGAACTAATAGACAAGGAATAAGAAAAGAAATTTACTCGGAAAGAGGGACACTAGAGCGATCATCGTAGTTCCAAGAAGCTGTGCAGGGTATGCATTGAAAATTACCTTTAACAACTAACGATTTATCAGTAATCTTCTGTATCTCATTTAAATAATGAAGATATGCTCAATAATTGTATCAGGAAAATCACTATGTCATTACAGTGGAGACCACTCACCTTCTTCTCAAGTAACAACAGCTTAAATAGAACGAGTGTTCGATGTCGAAATCTAAGGAATAGATCTTGAACCGAAATATCTGAAGTTGACTCATATAAAAATTGAACATCATTTCAAATTAAAAAATGAATGGAGAAAACCTATGCTTGCAGCTTGTTCGTCAACAGCTCCGTCGTCAAACATGTCGCACAAATTCGTGTACATTTGGGAAAGAACTTCCACCTGGAAATACAATCATAACAATTACGAAAAAACGTTGAAAAATAAAGTATAAAGCTCTCGGTCAACCCCTTAGGGATGCGCCATTCATTTGTCTTCATTAAGCATCGCTGGAGGTGATTGAATGCATATCTGGCCTCTACAATGACTCGAGGTAGCCTACCGATGTATCGAGCCAGTTCTGCTATCCTCTCAGACAAGTCTGGTACCACTTTGCCGACTCCGGAGGGAAGTGGGTCTTGGTGGGCCTGGAGCATAGGGATCGATCCTATGTGTATTGCGGAGCGCCTCCGACCACTGCGGCACACGCCCCCATTAGTGAGTATATGTTAAGAAGTGAGAAAGATTAACTACCTTCGTGAAATCTCTTTCGGCAAAATACGCCCGCGTTATCACTTGCAATTTTGTTCTTAGTGCTCCATAAAGAGGAATACGAGACAATACACACACGCTTTTTTGTACAGTGCTTCTGGTAATATCGTCTCCCTTCGACAATAAGTCCTAAACAAAAAGCATTACCAGACTACCACATAAAACACATCAGTTACAAAATTGACGAAATAAAAAAAAATATATAAAAATTGAAAAAGAAATTGAAAATGGACAAAAGCAGCCGTTCAATTAATAAAGTATATCACCTCGGAAGCAATTTGACGACAGCAGGATATCCCAAACACAGACTCTCCCTTGCGATCTTTGGAAGGCAAAATGAAGAAAATCACATCTGCAATGCTAAACACCGAGTGGCTCCTTCTTTTATACTACATATACTGTTGTTGAAAACTCAGACTACTTCAATACCATATATTAAAAAGTAACTGTAACTTACACATATATTGCGCTCCAACGCAAACGGATTCTACACGCAAATAAGTCGAAATTTTCAAAAGTTATGATAAATCTATAAAACAAAAGACGCAGATCCTTCTTAAGGATGTCATGACAGATTATCTGATCTACTCTATGTGACAAGGCCTGATAAGCTCAGCTGGCAGCCAAGTTCAAGGGTATTCACAATCTACTCAAGAAAAAACCTCGGGCAGCTTACTTTTGTTTTTTGTGCTCACTGGAATCTTCGTTTAGATTATACATACAGTCAAACTCCCGCCCTTGGCCCACCAAGTCTTCCACCCCAGCGAGGTCGGCAAATTGGTACCAGACTTATCAGACATAGCAGCACTGGCTGGATACATCGGTAGGTATCCGATAGTTCTTGTAAAGACCAGATATGCATTCAGTCACCTCCAATGATGCTTAATAAAGTCGAACGCATGGTGCATCTTTTAGGGATAGATCAACATCCTTTTATCTTTTTACTATTGAGGACAGCCGGCAACGTAGTTTAGCCGTTGTCCGAAAAGAAGACCATGTAGAGATATGTCCTAAGCAAAATTAATAAGAGACAGTCCTACATAGGCTATTGTTTCAGACATTTTTTAAAAAATTGGATACCACACGTCAAATTAGTAACAGCACTTCCGTTGATGCTCAAAAAGAAACTCGAACATGCAACCGTTATAGAAAAGTAGACGTGAATAGCGCGCTGTCAATTAATTCAACCAGGAACTAAACTATCAACGAAATAGGTGCGAAATAGGTTGGCCCTTAAGTTTCATAAAAATTTCATCGTACCGTCATTTGTATTATGAGCACCATCTGGTAGAGCCAGTGACGGCAGATTGATCCATTCATCTGATAACCCTCCTTCACCTTCTCCGTCTAGCTTTGGATATGAGAATTCAACCTGAAATTTATAAAACATTATCAATGACGCGCCTGGGAAAAGCATATGATTGCTTCGCGCAGATGAGAACAGCATATGATTCTCTTCATATATTTATACCACCTATTTCCCTATATTGTGCAGTACCAACACGTCTTTTATCAGGCTTAGTGCTTTCCATGTGTAGACGTGGGTCCATCTACTAATTGAGGATTCTGTCGCTTCCATGAGTACCGTGCAACACAGGTCGAATTGGTTCTTTCTAGAATCCTGGGAAAGAGTTTCTATACAGTTCCCAGATATCTTTTTCATGAAAGCCGCTCAATTCAGGTTGAACTAAGCCTTTACATCATCCTGGGATAGATTTCGTAAAAAGTTCCTAGACTCACACCGCGCGAATCGAATCATCGACCATGTGCGTATTGTACAGCGTTCCTAACCATTGTATTTTATGCACTTTAAATATGATCAATACTGTCTGAATTTCAGGTCCTGCAGGATTTTCCAAAAAGAAAAAAACCTATACAGCGAAGCAAATTCGTTCTAAATGAAAACATGACACAGCAGTTCTAAACTCTGTGTTATATTTGCTCAGGATACGAGGTACACAACACAGTAGAATGATGCAGTCATGCACTTCGTTGCTGTTTCCGCACATCTCAGAAACCAATGAACCCTTAAACCTTTATGCTCAAAATTTGCTATACTTTGTCATGTCCTGGACTACGATTGTTGTTACGGCGGGCGAGCTCAAATTATCTCAACATTCCCAAAAAATAGATCCCGGATACGTTATACTAGTCAGCACAAGGATTGAAACGCCATTCCCATAGGTAGATTGCGCCTTCCTCCTCGGTATCACCGATTACCTCAGGAATATTCTTGCTAACATGAATAGCAAGCCTACAAAGAAATGCGCACTAAAATAACGAAAAAGTTCGTTTAAGTTCCGAAATCATGTTCGTGCATTTATATATGTCAACCTGCAACAAACGCCAGTATAAATTCTGCCAACGCCCAGAAACCGACGTGGAAACCCTTGAAAGGGATACTCTAGATTTCTAACTTGGTTAGGTTCTCCATTTTTTATTTTTTATGGCTGTTTCACGTACTACATAAACTATGACACCAAGAAAAAAAAACTTTGTTGTAGACGGTTAACTTGGATATTTGGATAGCCCATCTTCACTGGTTGTGCGGACTCCAGTATAATTTCCAATGCTTCGGAGTTCTGCTGGTTTGGCCAATATGATTCCCTGGAGACCCTATGTCAGTCAGGCCAAAGTCTGCTCCAAGTCGTCACCACCACAAGCAGTCGCCGCCCTTGTAAATCAGAGGAAGATTCTTCACCATTCGACTAGTTTCATACCAGGACAGTGGTGAATCCTCATATTGGCTTAGCTGGGTTTCCTAATGGAAACGCGCCGAACACTTTCTCAACCTGGGAAACTGTTGAGGTGCAGAATCCCCCACTATGAATCGCAGCCCGACACATAGGAACACCTCCCAGCCACGATGAGGCGATAAACCGTTGGAAGGGTAGACGGTTAAAGTGCACTTAAATGGTATAACTATATCTCGGAAATATCTAGAAAGTCGGTACTGAAAATGATACCCTTGTTCTTAAGCATCCGGAATTACAATGGCGTAAACTTCACCGCAGTACACATCTTACTGTAAATGTGCATGAACGCACCTGGCATCCCTTTTTGTGATGAAATCCGACAACGACAACATGTAAGATTTGTTGCATTCGCTGTCTAAAGTACGCTTTTAAACACTAAAGCACTTTCAGATCGCAGGTAAGGGTTTCTTTCCCGATACGATTTGTTAACAAAAAAGCACCTCAGAACGAAAAGCTCTTATTTTTCCAAAATAACCATAGGTAAGCAGATATAACTCGAAATGGATCGTACGGACTAAACATGAAGTCGAGAGGATAGACATTGATACAGCGCAGGATTTCAAATCAATACTTTGCATATTTAAAGTTGATTAGTTAAAGAGGTGCGTAGCTGGATCAGAAAAAAGAAAAGAAAAAGAAAAAACGTGGGAAGAAAAAACAACGTGAACAATACAACGCCAATTTACACATAAAGGAACTGTTTACATTAATATTTGCCAGCGTTAACGATAAATGAAGTGGATGGACTCATCCAATAAATTCACCATAAAGAAAACCTACTAATAAATAAAAATTAACGCGTTTCCAATAAAAAAAAACAACGCTTCTTAAGACCACTTGGACAAAATTCCTGCGAGTCCTTTGATAGTAACAGATTCTTAACAAAACGTACCGCTACTAGTAGAAAACCCGAACTTGGATTTCTAAGGGTAGGGTCAAGTGCTTCTATTTTCATCAAACACGTATAAGGAGGAATGCTGGAAAGTACAGTACGCAAGATTAGATCAATCATACAAAAATATCGGAGTGTCCCTGTGCTATAAACTTATGCAATGCAGAGTACCAAACGAATAATACATGGGCTTTAGGGCTTTAAGCCAACGACAGACTTTTTCTGTTACGAAAAAATAACCGCTACAAATGATAAACATAAAGCAAAAAACAGTGAAACAATGCCGGAATAATATGAAATAAAAGTTGTCTCGAAGAACCCACCACGGTTAAAACTGTTGGATGGGAAAGATCAATGTGATAAACTGCGAGTTAATATGACTACGAATTCATAAGCCAAGGATTTCTGGCTACCGTTTCAGGGGTGCGGTCACCGTAGTCATACAGTAACTCCTCGGCTTCATCGATGTTTCGTTTAGCAACGAGGATCAGATGTATCCCGTCATCCAATTCCACCACCTTATAATAGAAAAACTCTAGTAAATATCAATAATAATAATAATAATAATAATAATAGTAATGACAGCAATAATAAAAACGAGCAAACCTGCTGAAAAAAGCCTTAAAAACCTTCAACGGAAAATAGGAGACACGCGATGAGACGGCAATTAATGCGTTTGCGCTAACCACTAAGTGAACATAAGCAATTGTGCGAGCAAGAAATCTTCGTTTTAATTTTCAGAATATCCTCACTAACTTATGAAGAAAGAATGTCATTGTGATTTCGACAACAGTCCCAGTTTAACTGAATTCAATGCCGATTTGTGCTCCTCATATCAATCCCGCTCACGGGTGATTGCTGATGGCACTAGTAGATAGAAAACTAACTGAGAAACAGGCGAAACGAAGGGCCCGTATGATGTGCTGGTGAGCGCGTTATCCCTCGGAAAGGGTGATAGCGTGTTCGATCCCCACCGCAGACACCTGCGCTAAGGAGTTTTGCAAATGTCTCAACATCATTGTGGTTTTATTTCACATAACACCCTGCTGTAAAAGTTGTAATAGGCAGTAAATAAAAAGTTAACATTGTAACTAGATTGTGAAACAATACCTAGTTTGGCACGAGTCTACCGTGCTAACATTTAAGATTAGGCGTCATCCCATTGTGAGAACAGTGAAAATTAAAAATGGCTGCGAATGTTGATTCGTTACGATACTTATGCAAAACCAAAGTTTCTGTGTTGTACTAGACGCAATCAGAACGTATTTCTATTAAAAGATAAAGGATAAAGCTCTCGGCGTTGGTCAAACCCTGAGGGTTGCGCCATGCATTCGACTTCACTAAGCATCGTTGGAAGTGACTGAGTGCTTATCTGACCTTTACTCGGGCTCGATCACCCGCAGTGGCCTACCCGATGTATCGAGCCAGTGCTGCTATCCTCCTTGGCAAGTCTGGTACCAATTTGGTGCACCACGGGAGCCGGAATCAATCTCATCTGTGTTGCAAGGCGCCTCCGAACACTGCGCTAAACGCGCTCTTGTACTTCTCTTATGTACACTATCACTTCCACTTTCACTGGAAACGTTCCCATAGCATATACGTGGACGAAGAATTATCTCAAGTAATAGAGCTGGTTAATTCTAAGCAAACCTCAAATATAGCAGTCTTTGTATGATAACAGACACTACCAACGGTTTACCCCCTCACTGTGACTAGGAGATGTGCTTGGGTGTTCGACTGCGATGTAAAGCGGGATGACTCATCTCCCTGGCAAGGTCTCCCAAGCTGAGGAGTCCAGCGTCTCCATCAGGAAGCCTAGCTAAGAGCAAACCAATAGCAGGATCCACCACCGTCCTGGTATCAAGGTCGCATGCTGACAAATCTCCCTCTGATCCACAAGGGTTGCGACTGCCTGTGATGGTGACGAGCTGGAGCAGGCTGACTTCGAGAATCCTGGGAACCACAATGGCAAAACGGGTAAATCTCCCAAAAATAGTGATTTTGTTGGGGCCCGTACAACTTGTGAGGAGTATCAAGTATCAAGCAAGAGTACAGACAGTCAACTAAATCTCAAGGCTATCATCTGTATCACCTGTAGTCCCGTTGGTTGTCGAGTGACTCGAGCGGGTGCCAGTAAATCTTCTATTTTTCCCTGTCGCGTGCAGGAGTAGCCCAGTGAGTTCCTCTCGCTCTAGGGACTAGTCCAGCATCATACCTTTCTTCTAGGTTCCTCGTGAAGAACTCTGACCATCGGGTATGTGGTCTTAGTACAGCACGCTTGACATCCCGAGAAACCCAGTCACTAACGGCTATTATCCATCGGTTGCCATTCATACGCATTACGTGTCCGGCCCACCTTATCTTCGACTGTTTGGTGTACAACGGCATCTTTGCTTTGATTTTTGATCGTTGGACGTAGGTAGAGCTTCGGATTCCATACCTTACTTGTGTGCTTATGTGAAATGGCATAGTCCTAGCACTGTCCTTTCGACCGGGCGTTCCATAACGCTGAGTGATCTTTCATCCTGCTTACGCAGCGACTAGGTTTCCGACGCATACGTTAGGGCAGGAAGTACATATGAGTCGAAAAGTTGGGCACAGAGTCGGGTGTTCTTTCTTCTCTTCACTACATTCTCGATGTTTTTGAAAGCTCCACAAGCCGCTCATTTCCTTCTGCTCAACTCTGGACCTAAGTCGTTCATAATAGTGATTTCCGAACCTAGATAGACATGACTGGAGTATTCGGAGATATTCGTTCCGTTAAGCGTGAATAGAACATACGTAACCGATTCGTTCCTCATATAGCATCGTTTTTGTGAGACTTAGTCGAAGACCGATCTTTCCACGGGCTTTATCAAAGTCAGCAAGCATAAGTTCCGCTTGGCTAATGTTTGGTGTTATAAAGACGATGTCATCAGCAAAGCGAAGATAATGTAACTGCTAACCATTGATTTTCACTGCCATATTATCCCATTCCAACGTTCGCATAACGTTCTGGAGGGTGGGGGTAAATAATTTTGGCTAGATGGTATCGCCTTGCTTAACTCCTCTTTTGACGTCAATGTTAATACCGTTGTAGAATGGTGATATCTTGGTTGTGAAATTTTTGTACAGCTCACGAAGAATCTTTATGTGCTGCGTAGGAACTCCTTGACTATCAAGGGTTTCCAAGACTGCTTTTATCTCAATTGAATCAAAGGCCTTACGTAAATCGATGAAAATGAGAAAGAGCGGTCCTTTGTACTCTCGCAATACTTCAATGAGCTTTGTTATCGTGTGGAAGTGGTCAATCGTGCTAAATCCTTTCGAAACTCTGCTTGCTCACATGGCTGTCCATCGTCCAGTGTTCTGTCAATCCTGTTTAGGATGGCTCGAGCGAAAAGTTTGTAGACAACAGACTGCAAGCAGATTGGGCGAGAGTTGACGATATCGTGTAGGGCACCCTTCTTGAACAATAGCACACTCGTGCTGGTCTTCCACTGAGTAGGGACCTGCATCCAAACATGTAACGTGTTAAGAGCCTACCAGTGAATTTACGAGGACTGGTGGAAGGTCCTTTCTGATCTTATCCTGTCCGCATCTGGTGCTGTTCAATTTTTCACCGATGAAATGGCATATCGGATTTTGGAAGGGAGAACCGGTGGTACAAAATATCCATCTTCCTTTATTTCATGTAACGGGAGCTGGACGTGGTTATCGAAGAGATCTGAGTAGTATTCGTGAATGATTTTCTTCACTGTCTTTCTGGAAGCTGTAACTGTTCCGTCTGGGCGTTGGAGTGCAATCATCTTGACCTTGTAATTGGCGAAGCTTCGGTGAGCTTTGCGAATGCTTTTCCCAACCTCTGCAGCATTACTGCTGCTCTTTTCCCTTTAAGATCTTCTTTCATCGCTTGTCTGCAATGTTTTGCAAGTTCGAACGCCAGTACGCGGTTGACTGCAGCACGTGCGATTCCACGCTGGCGTATCAGCGGAGTGTTTCTGGAGACAGACGTCTCTTGGTGACTTTCGAACTCCCAGCTTTCATCGCGCTAACGTAAAGATGTTGAATGAGCTGATCACATTCTTCGTCGATGTTGTCGACAACGGCACCTTCCCAACAGCCGACTAATGCATTGAATAAGTCCCAGTTTGCGGTGATTCTGGGACTTCGGTTTTAGAATTTATTGGCTTTTTCTCCTTTCAGCGAAAAATAGAATCTAGCACTAAGGAGACGGTGGTCTGATCCTGTGTAGAATTTTGGGACAACAGCGACATCGGTTGGGCAAAATCTTCCGTTCACTACGATGTGGTCTATTTCGTTATGGTACTCTCCACTGGGAGACTCCCACGTCCAGTATTGAGAGTTGGGCTTCTGGAATTGCGAGCTACCATGGATGGTCTTGGTCGCCATGAGAAACTCAGATATCCGCTCACCCTGCTCGTTCCATTGTAATCCGTGGGTCCCAATGTGACATTCTTCAAACGTTCTTCTTGGTCCAATCTTGGCGTTGAAATCTCCAATGATGACATTGACGAACGTGTGGTCTTCTCTGTAGAACTTCTCCAAGTTCATCTAGAACGCTTCGACTTCTTCTTCGTCATAGTTTGATGTTGGTGCGTAAACGACCAAGGTTGTCAAAGCCGGAATTGATCCACGTTTTTTGAATCGTAAACGTCCGAGTCGGGTTGTGAGCTGTTCGAATAAATCGATGTTCATGGACAAACTCGTGTTGACGAGAACGCCGACGCCGCCGATTCCTCTACTGTCACATATTTCGAAGAACAGTTCTTCTCCGGTGTCATAGACGGCCTTGAAAGGCAGGCGTCTTCTCGTCTCGGCCAGGCCAATGACGTCGTACCTTATCCTTCTTGCTTGCATGAGTAAGTCTTCTATCGAGGCCTCGAATGGAAGTGTACGTGCATTGTAAGTACAGATCGTCATCAGAATTCTTTGTAGTCCAGGCGGTTTCCATTGGCCCTGAGATTTTAGCAGCCTCTCCGTACTCGTCCTTCCCAACACTGCGAAATTGGGGCTTTTTCGTGGTCAGGGGAGTGAGACCCGTTTTTTTTTTTACTGCGTTTAGCATTTTGATACCAACGTATAGCGTGCTGAGCTCTGAACGTGGGAGTTGGGTATACTCACGGATAGCTTGCCAGGCTCTCCCGGAGTGTACATGGAGCTTTTTTTTGGATGCGACTCCTAACCGCTTTCTATATACTTCCTAGTCGCTTCATTGCAGGCTTTTGGCCGAATTGACTCGTAGGATACAATCCACATAAGCAAGAACGCGCCCACACACGCATGCATGAATACGCTTAGCAAATACAGAAAGTGTGTGCCAAATGGGCGCAGCAGAAACAGGGAGTCCATCCCCTGGATCCATCTGCGCCTCAAGGAAGCAAAGGTCCGCGATTAATCCCTTATCCGCCGCCTAGTGACGAGCCACGTAGCCCGCGACTAACCGGCTCGACATCCCTCATATGAAGGAGATTCGTGGCTCAAGGCTATACTGGCTTGAATATTAAGGGTGACTAACTTGGAACTATTTCAATTAGTATGTCCTTGGTGGAGGCTTTATCTTAACGAGCTTTACCCTTTAACTTGGATCTAAAAGCAACTATGTAAGCACAACCTGCATCGAGCAAGTTTAGAATCTTCAATCAAGAACCTGATGGCACAAACAAGGATGATCAACACATAAGCGATTACGTTTAGTTTTAAGTGATGGCCATTTGAAACTTCGCTTAATTTTCCTCTGCGCACGATATGCATTGAAAAATTCGTTCGAACAAAAAGTTTTGTGAATTATTAAACGAGAATAATGGCTTTCTCACAAACCATGTCAAGCACATCTATGTTGGAATCAAATGAATAGAGAAAGTATGGCCTATAGTTCTTCGTGGCTCGAAAAGAATATGTAGTGCAATCAAGGCACACGATCTACTCTGTGCACACGTATATGCATTGATGACAATGCATACAACGATTCACGTGTTAAGGTCGAAAACATAGAATCGCTCGAGAAAAGACTTTACTAAACATTGTTTCTGGTAGTAAAAGAGGAAGCGATGGGAGTGTTGCTGACGGATTCGCCAACAAAGCGTAGTCATGAGCATCCATTCCTTTATAAAAACTCGAGAGGACCCTTACGATTGAAAAAACGTAGAACAATGAACAATGTCGTTGACAATCATCGTCACCTATGGTCCAATATACAGCTATGAAGCAGATGAGGTTGAGGGCTTCTAGATGCACGTGGAGATATATTGTATTGGTCAACTAACACAGATTTTCTTTTCAGAATATTAAACGCCCTGCTGTGGAGTAGCTTCAGACCCGTACACTGGAATTAGCAGCCCTTGTTATGTGACGTCAATTCACCACCTGACATGTCTGTGCTTGCATGATGACCCAATGCAAGCACATGCCGTTCGTAAGAAAGATTGAAAGCACGTCAAGAAACAATAGCTAATAAGCAAATAACTAACACTGCTAAGAGAACTTCAAAATAACAAAAGTACTACAGACAAAAACACACCTTCGTTCTAAGGTTAGGTCGCAGAACACTGTGATTTATTAATCGACCCTTATAAATAGACTCTTTGGTCGCATCTACACACCATCTTTTACTTTTGTACTTGAAGAAATACATATACGACCCAATTGAAGGATCCTTGGCGTATTCCTGTTCACGGAGTTTAGCTGAGTTATAGTCCATAATGTCGCCTGAAACGTTATTGTGAGCTGTAGAATAGCAAATATACTGTTTTACTAAAGGTGTATTCGCAAACAACATAAAGGAGAAAAAATAAAGGATAAACCTCTCGGCACTGATTTATCCCTGGGGAAGCGCCATGCATTCTACCTCATTAAGTATCGTTGGAGGAGATTGAATGCATATCTGCCCTTTACAATGACTCACAGTAGCCTACCAATGTATCGAGCTAGTGCTGCTATCCTCCCAGACAAATCTGGTATTAGCTTGCCGACCCCGGAGGGATCGAAGGCTTGGTGGGCCTGCGAGGTGGGGATCAATCCTGGGTTTTGCAGGGCGCCTCCGACCGCTACGCTGTGCGCATCCTCACCAATACCGTATCCACACAAAAACATACCTTTGTACTCGATCACGAACTCGTTTTTCACAAAAGGCTTCCCAGCTCGGATACCGCGACCTTTCTTTTCATCCAAATAAATTTCAACCAGTGTTTCATTTGTCATGTTGTATATAGCATCACGTAAGGCTCCCTTCTCCTCTTCCTAAACGAAGTAATTGAAAAAAAAAGCTAGAATGGTAGAATAAAGTACTCCTATTCAGTTTTTGAAAACTATGAACAAGAACGCAATTAAATTTAACCTCAAGTTGCTTGCTAGTCTTTCGTGAACTTCTCCGTACAGGGAAATATTCAGTAATTTTGTGGTTCGAAACATCTTGAACAGCTCTTCGCCTTAAAAATCACGTATTAGTAAGAAAATCGTTACATCTGCTAACTCGATGAGACAACCTGTTTCACGACTTCTAGATTCAATTGATGACCAAACCTTTCACCATTTATAGGATTTTTACTAATACTTTATAATCCATAGAATTAAGGCGTGGTTGGACTAAACATGAGTCCAGTAAATCACCGTTTAACCACATAAAGGGATAAAAGATGAAGCGCTCGGCGTTCATCAATCCGTGAGGGATGTGCCATGCATTTCACTTCATTGAGCATCGTTGGAGGTGATTGAATTCACATCTGGCCTTTACAATGACTCGCGGTGTCCTACCGATGCATCGAACCAGTGCTGCTATCCTCCCTGACAAGTCTGGTACCAATTTGCCGACCTCGGAGGGATGGAAGGCTTGGTAAGCCTTGGGCGCGGGGATCGATCCCATGTGTATTGCAGGGCGACTTCGACCACTGCGTTACACGCACCCATGTCTAACTATATAATTCCAGAAATCAACTACTACTTACGGTTTATAATACAATCACAATAAAAGAAAAGTTTTATAATCAACCGACTGGTTGCTACGACGGATCTGTCCATTCTGAGATGACTTCGATTCATTCGAGGAGTGTGCTTCTTGATCACACTGGGAATGACTGTGATCCATCTGTGGTATGAGCGAATTTCGTTTCCTTCTACGGCCTCGTTTCCTTGCAATCACGTTTCCAAGCATTTTCCATGTGCCCGAAAATTTATGTATCGAATTGCGTTGTTATGAATTGCCTACATGCAAACAGTAGTCCATATGAACACAGAACGGATTCTCTCAATAATAGAAACACTGTGAACTGCGTCCACGTCGCAGTCCTCTTCGGATGGTGCAAGTTCGAATCCTGTGGATGACAATGTCTACGGAATCAAAAAACAAAAAGAAAAAAAGAAAACAAACTATGAGCCATAAGAGCCTAGATTTCATACAAAATAGTGATCATATATTGTGCTAAACAACGTAATTTAGACAGCTTGCGTCGTCTAAAAAGCTAGCAGCAAAACCAAATTTCGATACCATTGAAGAAAACACAAAGCCGGCTGCCTGGCTCTTCCTCTTCGAGAGCCCTTTATTGATAAACCACACTTCCTACGTTAACAGGAATCCTTCCATCCAACTGAACTCTAATAAAGAACTTGTTAGACAAGAAGCTAAAATCTTAAGAACATTAGCCCTTCAAACCTTGACTACCCATTAAAAAACAAATTAGTATCAAAGGATGGCCGATAAAACCTTGTCTCCAATGTAAATGGCTTCGACACCAAGGAGAGCTCTAGTGAAAATCGATGCACAGAACATTTAAACAAACGATATCCGAGGATTAAAGGAAAACAAACAAAGGCAAAGACAACTTCTACTGCTTATAAAAACAACTGCGGGTTACTGCGATTCGTCATGAGTGACAAACGCTTTAAGACGACACCTCACGGTTGTGGGTTCAGCTAGCTCACGGTTGGTAGTACTACTTTCTAATCAAAGTTATGAAACACCGGAAAAGGTAAGTTGTATTCAAGTGAAAAAGTACTATCGAAAACAAAACTCCCGCCTCCACGAACCCTTAGATTGTGTAGTTCACAGGAATGTTAGCTGATAGCGAAAAACAAATCAGATTCGCTCGTGATTAGGGGAATTAAGCATGGCATAATGAACGGGACGTATGTGTACTATAAAATGATTGTTTAGGGGATAAAAGAAGTACCAACCGTAACAATGTCCAATGCTATACGTTGTCGTCTGATTCCAGGATTCATTCCAGAACGGAAAGGCGAAGTGAGAAATCCAAAACGCATCGATTTCCAGTTCTGGTAGAGTTTATAGATTTCAAAACGAAACTATTAGAATCGCTTGAAACCTTATATAACTGAATAGAGCACGCCTCGTTGTGTGCAGGACAGCCGAGCTTAGCTAGAAACTTCCTCTTGATTAAAGTAGTCAGTTCAGTTCAGTGTGTAAATTGTTGGGCTTACACGAGGTTGGTAATCAGATTTATCTCGACTAATGTTTCGAAGCCCTCGTCTTCATCAGAGCCGACGATCCAAGTCGATGGTTAGTTCAGTCTAGTTTTAAAACGCCCGAAGTGAACATGAGTCTTTATGTGGTTATATGGAGCATGTGTAAATGTATCCAGTTCTGAGACAGTGGCCAGATAAGCTGCAAGGGACTGGGAATGCACTTCATATTCAAGGTTTGGGGAAAGAGAAGGCAAGCATGCTGTAGTCACCCAATCTGACCTAAGCATAAAAATGCAAGCGTACTCTGTTCAGAAGGGACCACCTGATCTGATACAGGACCAGCTCATAGGGTCGAGTGAGAGGCAAGTTATGGGCCAGAGGACGGATTTCAGTCTGAATTCACGGACTTGTAATGCAGTACACGTACTGAATTCGGTCAAAAAGACCGTTTCCAGCAGTATCCAACTGCCAACATTACGTAGGAACAATTGATGGCATTATTCCGTTCAAATCAGAGTGTGATGTCTCTGAAACGACGTGAACACGGAACAAAAAGTACTAATTGTAGTTGGAGATCGATGACTGGAAAGGGTAAGAGTGGAAATAACCTAACAGAAAAATAAGAAGGACCGATGGACGGTCGGGAATGAATGTTGACATTCAGTGGAGACTTCGCACTCATTCTTCATCATTTCATGAAGAACAACATAAGCCATCCACCGTCGAGAATTAAAAACTACATAAGAACTTTGAACGACTAGAGTGCTGGAGTAATCCATTATAACCCTGGATCATCGAGAATGGCCGCTAGTTCAAATTTGGCGCGCAAACATCTGGGGCGCTGGCTTGCCAATGTAGCAAAGGAATTTTCCCTGAAAGTTCAATCATTTCCAAGATTTTGCGGCTTTACAAACCACTTCAAGAAGCAAGAGTGTTCAGAATTCTATACATTTTCGAATGTCTTACTTGGTAAGTGGTACTCATACATTCCCGAGAATATTGGTGTTTCAACGACCGACGATGACTAACTGGTTTATTCAAGCTGAGACTTTCCCGCATTTAAAGAAGATATTTAGCCTTATATCTCTAGAGGATATGTTCCTCTAAGGTGATATTACATCCTAAAGTCACTTAAAACCTGAACATACAGAAGTTTGAGAAAGAAATTCAAATCTTTCAAACCATCGACGAAATACTCTGAACATAAACATCAGCGATCCATTCAAGAGGTCGTTATGTTCTGCTAAGTAAAACCGCACTTGTTCAACTGCTTCGCTGTTTGAAATAAGAGCTTGAGAGAAAAAAACGAAGAAAGAAAAACAACTGGTGGGATTCAAGATGTCGGAATTTCATCCTGGTGCAAGAAAATGACTGGCTGTTTGACAAAGAAATGTGGTTTTAAACGGTTTCTAACATGTTTAACAAAATTCAGTATGAACTGAAACATGTTTGCATAAATGGTGAAGCTCCAACTATTTGATATACGCATTGGGATGAATGCGCACTACGGCGAATGCGCTAAACCTGGTATGCGCTATAGCCATCGCAGCATGACGCAACCTTGTTCAGCTGCCAAATTTCGAAATTCATTCTGTTTTATGCAGCGAGTCATCGCAACATGGCGTGACTGCTGTGGCTCGATCAAGAATCACTGACGATTCCCAGTTTTCATAGAAAACATCGTCACCACTATTCAACCTGAAGTTTGAAGGCGATAGCTACTACTAGTAAGGGTTAGTTCGTACGCTGAACTCCGACCAAACAACAGTATCTGGTGTGAAGTCGCCTAGGGTCATGGAGCGTCGGTGTGTCATCGCTTCTGTAACGATCCCTCTGACTCACACGACTCAAGGTCACGTCTTTACCTGTCAGGGTCATTATTATAGAGATAAACAGGTTTGCCGTGGAAATAAGTGCAGTAGAACTCGTCAGCTAGCGAGTTATGTCGCCGTGAGTCCACGTGTGCGGTCGACATATGACGTTCCGATCGATCAGAAGGGGTGTGGAATACCCGACGGCCGCGGTCCGAGTCCAGTCCGGGAGGGCCGGGGCGGGGCTGCCGCACTGCCCGGGGTTCAGTGTTCGGTGGTGGCTCGTTGCCTGTGCAGCTGGCTGGTGTCCGTCTCAGTCCGGATCGGTCCTCAACCCCGTCCTGCTTCAATGTCCTGTCGTTCTATGGCAATACAATAAATTTGTGCTGTGGAAATTACTATTTCTTACTACTAAACTTACTGTTTTCTTGAGTTTCATTGCTCTTTATTTTTCCCAATCATGCTCCTTTTTGTTCATAAACTCTTTTTTTGTATCTAGAAGCTTAATAGTACTGTTATACAATGGCTTTAAGCCGTACGAGTAGCTGAGGATTCGTTTTTAAACATGGACAATACCGCTTTGTAATTCTGAATATTCTGAGGTGACCTCACGGCACGACATGTTAAGTCGATGATGTGCAGCATTAGTGACAGTTATTTTTTATATTTGTAAATACAAATACAATTTTTAATGTAGAGATGGACGATCTGTTGTCAGTCGCTTTGAGTGAAGCAGGACTTGAAGAATTCCTCACGTCTGCACCGTCGTCATCGTCCGACGCTCTTCCGGCTTCAGAAGCGGGGCAAGTTATTACTTTTCGAGCAGTTTTGCATCTCACCACCGTCTTGCTAAGTAGCTTTGAATCTCAATTTCCTTCTTTAAAACCCCTTTGCTTTGAAAATAAAGTCGCTTATATCAAAGTTGTAGTAGGTTTCTGTGTTATAGTGGAACATTTAAATAAAAGGGATATAAAGTGGAAAACTAACTGAAGGATACGCACAACAAAGGCCTCAGTGGTGCGATGTGTAATACGTCAGACCCCGTAAAGCATAATCGTGGTTCGATCTGGCCCGGGGTCCAAGTTTTGCTAATATCTCATCGTAATTCTGGTTAAAAAGGGATAGTTCCAGAACATCGAGTAGATCCACAAATCTGGGTCCCGTCATACCTGAATCGGCAAGTAGTTTGCTACAAGAGCAAACTGAAGCGGCTCCTTGTCTGGAGGCTTTTCCCGTTATTGCTACTACTTCCACTGCCGATAGTACTGGTACGTTGTTCGGCCTTTTTACTTATCAGAACTGTCCATAAAGAGCACTATTACTTTCAATATGTCTGTTTGTTCTGCAGTTGGAATCCTTTCGTCACAGCCGTCAACGGCACCAAAAGTTGTTGCAACGCCGCCGGTTGCTGTTGTTAGAAAATTAATCAGCGCTAAAGGTGCAGATTATAGACAAGTTAGCGCAGATAATAGACAAGGTTCGCCACAAGAATACGGGAAACAAATCAGGTTAGTAAATTCGAATTGCTAGTATAGTTTGCAGGATGTTACTTGTTGTAGGGCTAGTTGTCCATCTCGTGCTTGAAATTTGTTGCAGGCCTCTGTACGCGACAAATACCGCAGGCCCGACTCAACTTTTCAAACAAGTAGTGCAAACTCCTGATGGACCTAGGACGCAATTATTGCGCCCGTTTATTAACGTAATGTTCTATTCCTGTTGTCTAAAGTTCTGGAATATTGTCAATTCTCCAGGCGCATGGACAGACCGTGTACCGCGCAGTCCGAACGGTGCCGTCTGGGAAAATCGATGTCCGGAATAAATCACTCATTGTTCAAAATATCGGCGCGACTTCAACTAATGTCAGTGACTTAGACAAACAGAATTCCGCATCCGATATTTTGAAAGGACAACAAAGAGTTGTGGTCATTCGTCAGAATACGCCTTCAGGTAGATTGGAATTCAAAGTACTTTCTGCCTCCAGTACGTGCTATTTAAAAGAATCAGATTTTTTGCTGCTCAAGTTTTCTTTCTAGTGATAAGGATCGTTTTTTTTTCACTCATTTCTGTTATGTTCTACTTCCTGTTGTTCTTTCCTTAGTTTCCTTTAATACTTTAGCCTTTAACACTCATGTTAATGTATTCATAGGACAAGTGTTAATACGAAAATCTATCCCTTCGGACATGCCGCTATCGCAAGCTTTAACTACAACCACAAACGATGGATTAGTCCGAAGATTTGTCGCACGTGGAGGAATTCGCAGACTTCAACCAGCAGGATCTTCGGAAAGCATGTAAGCATTTTATAATTGTTCGACATTATTATTAAGCAAACAATGCCACTCTTTAATGAGTTCATGAAGGTGTACCATTTTTCACATTCGTGGATTATTTGGGATTACATCATAGTTGATGCGTGAACTTGGTTCTGGGTTTGAGATTTTTTTAACAGCTATTGAATAAAAGAATAAAAAGCATAGTGCTCTTGGCGTTGATTAATCGCTGAGGCATGCGCCATGCATTCGACTTTACATTACTACTTTACATTACATTACTTTATTTTACCTTACTTTACATTCGACTATCGTCGAAGGGGATTGAATGCATATCTGACCTATACAATAGCCTATCGATGTATCAAGCCAGTGCTGCTATTCTCCCAGACAAGTCGTGCCAATTTTCCGACTCCGGAGGGATGGAGGGCTTCGTGAGCTTTGGGCGCGGTGATCGATCCCATGCGCCTCCGACCACTACGCTACAACTAGTGAATAATGATAATAAAAGAGCTTGGTGATGTAAATTTGTTTGTTTTGACAAATCCCTACATTTCTATAATATTTTGGAAAAAACCGTCCGTTCCCATACTGTTAGGTTTTCTTTTGATAACTTATCAAATGAATGAATAGGTTTTGTCAGCTTGTAAATTAAAATTAAAATTTAGAATGGTTCATTCATTCGATAGGTACTGTCTCTCTTTCATTCAGTAAACTTCCACTTTTCGCTTCAGCGTATGTCGAGGTGCTTTTGTCATATATTGCTAAAACACAGATCGCAACGTGCGTTATCGTCACCTCATCAGAGTCAAGTACAATATCGAAGTCGGTATTTCGCACCGGCCACTGCTGTTGCATCTGTGATTCCAACTCAGTCACAAGGTATGACAAATGTAGGAGGAGAAAAAGTGACGGAAATTACTCATCTGAATTCACTATCCCGACAACCGTCAACTTCCCGATCTGTAGGAACTCGAGGTTAGCGTGTCGTTTTTGCTCTGTCATTGTCCTAACAGAATCGTTAATCAATTTTTTTCTCTTTAAATTCATTGCATCTTTTTAAATTTCGTTAGTCGTCGGGTTACTTGAAAAGGTAGCATTGCTCTATTCGTCTTTGTTCTACGGCCATGTTGTTTAATGGGCGCCCTTCGCTTGAAGTTCAAAAAGAACATGGCATTTTTCGTATCATGTTCGTTTTTCTTACTTCTTTTTGACAGCAGGGTACTAATATGAGTAGCGGTTGACTTTTTCAAAATAGACCTTAACCACAATGATGCTGAGATACGAGCTGAGAGAACACGAAGCGAGCGATTCGTATGGCATGATGGTGAACACGTTAGCCCCCGGAAAGGGTAGTAGCACATTCGTTCCCCACCGCAGACACCTGCGGTCCGGAGTTTTGTCATTGTGGTTGTATCGCACATAATATCCTGCCGTGAAAACTTGTAATAGACAGTAAATAAAAAGTTAATATAGATGCTAACCTTATTTCTTCAAGGCGATGGCGAGTAGCCTTATGCTCTTTTCGGTCACCGGCTTGCAATTCGTGGTTGTAGCTCCAAACAGCGTGCTCTTGTAATCGTATATCTATAAGCATACCCAAACACAATATATCCATGAATTCGAACGGTTACATGTATACAAAATTTCGGAGCTAAATTACAACAACGGGAGTAATTTACCCATTTTCTGAATTTTTCTGCGTATTGGGGAAAGCACATGATGCTTGTTTAATTTTCTGCCGCTTGTGGATAGCTTACATACCTTCGTGAGTAATCATCTCAAGATCTCTTACATGGAAGGTAGTCATCGGATGTTCGTCCTATGTACCTTAGAGCGATTGTATGTGTAATTCTCAACATGTCATTTATACCTTTTTTGGCATGTATATACGTTTTAAGGTTATTCTGTTGCCACTGTACGCCCTAGGGTGAACTCATCAGCACCCGTTCCAAACCGCCGAATATGGCCAAATTCCACACATTCTTCTCATGCTTCCTATGTGCGTGTGTCAGAAAGTTATAATAATACATCTAACCAGGTAGGTATTTTATCGCTGTATGTTCCACGGAAGACGATTTTAATAAATTGTATTTTAGTTGAATGCTAGCCATTCCGGGGCACTACTTCGAAATCACGGCACAGCTTCGCGTAATTCGACAGTTTTCACTAAATCAGTAGGTTTCTTTCTCAATATTTTTGTGGTGTGTTCTTTTTCGTCTATCTTTTTTTAGTTTGAAATGTCGAAACCTACTCCTGTAAAGGCTAACGAGGATGGACATCGATATCGTCCAGTCAACTTCGGTTGTCCCTCTGGAAATGTTCTCCGTCAGAAATTGTCAAGCCAACAAGCAAGAACTCTACCTTCCGTCAGTGCAGAGGCTGCAACTTCGGCGGGCGCTTTTGAGCAATTGGATGTGAAACGAGTGCTGTCCACCAACTCTGCTATTTCTACGAAAGTGTTGCCTTCTAGTGTATGTGCACATATGTTCTACATATACTTCTCTCTTTGATCAATTTATTAATGTAGTTTAGTCTTCTGGCACAATTTCTACCGCGCCTTCTAAAGTGCATTCTAAGTCTCAAAGGGCGAAGGACGAAATGAGACTGGCTTACCAGACAGCTGCAGAGAAACGTTCTGAAATTGATGAAGATGTAATACCGCAAATTATCTTCGGATTCTTGAGAACGCTGAAGGAAAATTGGCTTTCAAATCTAATTCCTCTTAGGAAGAAAACCTCGGTTATGCGGAAACATACTCCGACTACGTGCCTGCAAAACTACGTTCTGGTGTTGCGCATCCAGATTCTGTTGTAGAAACAGCATCGCTGAGCAGCGTTTCACCTCCTGACGTCAAGTATCAGATCAGTATTCCAGAATATGTGGGTTCTTCACCCATTTTTTGCACCTTTGATTATGAATTCGTGAAGACGTTTGAAACGTCAACGAAAATTTGAGGAATGAGAGTTCAGAGTTTACAATCTGTTGAAAGCTACAAAGTAAGCAGGCTCATGGAGACCGATATGCTCGTTTTAAATCCTGATGTTTTAAAAGTTTTCTGAACAATGCTGATCTAAATATCTGTTGTGGGAAACCTGTTTAGTAAATTAACCGCAAGAAATTCATGCACCAAGAAGGAAAAAGGAATCGGAAAGAACATGATTCTTGTGTGACTCATACTGCTGAAAATGTATTAACATACAAAAACTACTTCCTAAATTAGTAGATTATTCGGTTCCTGTATATTTTGTAGTCTGTTTTTGGTACACCATATTAACATTGGGTTTAAAGCTGTCAATTTTTATTATAAGTGTGTGTAAAGAATCCCTAAAGAATTTTATGCTACTTTAGCTTATCGACAGTGGTTCTTTATCTGCACTGCAGCTGGAAGCAGTTATTTATGCTTGTCAAATGCATCAACAACGACTTCCAACTGGAGAAAGAACGGGTTATCTAATAGGTGGTACCCCTTTTTCATTTTTATTTTAAAGCTTTTTTAAAAATTTACATGGCGTAATAGTTGTATTGAAGGTGATGGAGCTGGTGTCGGAAAGGGACGAACTGTAGCTGCAATAATTTTTGAAAATTACTTGTTGGGTCGTAAGAGATCCATTTGGTTATCCGTTTCCTCCGATTTAAAATTTGACGCCGAAAGGGATTTGAGGGATATAGGTGCCGGTAATATCATGGTGAGAAGTGCTAAGTTGTTATGTAAATCCCTGAAGAGTGGTGTTCTTGAACTTTCTAGGTTTACGCACTCAATAAGCTGAAATATGCGAAGATTTCTGGAAAGGAGAATGGGAATATCAAGAAAGGCATAATTTTCGCTACTTACTCATCTCTTATTGGTGAATGCAGAGGTGCTAGAGCCAAGTATCGTAGTCGGCTAAAACAGCTAATCCAGTGGTTTGGTGTGGTTAGTGTAATTTATTCTTAATAGTTTTTTTTTCTTTTTTAACATAACCCAACATCACACATTGTGTGCATCTAAGCATTTTGTGCATTAAATTTGTTTCCTCGCATTGTCCATCCACGATGGTCTCAGTACTTTGCGTGTAAATTCCGGGTGCTGCTTCAGGAATTTGACCTTCTCCTTAAATAGTGGTCGAATCGATTTTCCCTGGCATCCTGGAATGGCCATGCTAGTGGGTATCTAGATTCTCACTACAGATGTTGTGGAGTGGAGAGAAAAATTGCCCCAGACAATTTTTCGAGCAACTTCGCGGCTCTAAAGGAGAGGAGTGGCCTGGCCCAGGCGGTATTGAACCTCATTCTTGCGCGCATTGAACGGCATCATTGGCATTGTGCTACTCGATGTCCTGAAGATAACAATTCGTTTGATTTGAATGTAAACTTTTTCTTTCAGGACTATGACGGTGTAATTATTCTGGATGAATGTCATCGTGCTAAAAATTTGGTGCCAACTGCAGGTGCGAAGCCCACGAAAACTGGACGAATGGTGCTCGAGTTGCAAAAAGCATTACCCAATGCACGTGTTGTCTATGCATCTGCTACTGGTGCCACTGGTAAGCTTTTCTGTCATATTTTTGTCGGCAAACAAGGAATTTGAGGAACAGACAAGACCTTTTGCCTTTCCACTAATTTACGAAATTTATGCATATTTTCTTCGTTATCTGCCACGTGTTCATTGTTAGATTTTTCTCCTTTTTATGTTATGTTTTGAAGTAACATTGCGGCTAGTCTGTTATTCTGGAAACGTCTGTTAAAAATGATTCTGTCTTAAAATGCGTGATCTGTAGAACCACGCAACATGGCTTATATGACGAGACTTGGACTATGGGGTCATGGACAAGCTTTTCCTGAATTCGCCAACTTTATCAATGCAGTTGAGCGAAGAGGAGTGGGTGCAATGGAAATTGTAGCCATGGATATGAAGGTAAATCTCCAACTATCAGAATCAATTTTTTTCAGAAGGAGAAGCGTGTTTGAACAATTTACTTCAAATTCTTCTAATTCGGCCGTCATATAACAACCACTAGCTATTGGTCGAGAGGTGTTACTAAAGTTGGACTCTATTTCAAATTTCTAAGAGGGAAAATGCAATTTTTCCACTTTGGTAATCTCGAATGTCAAATTCAAAAGATTTTTGTGTAGCAAGTAGCTTCGCTGGTATCTGTATTGTATTACGTTCTAAATTTCATTCAGCAACGTGGTCTTTATCTTGCACGTCAACTTTCATTTCGTGGAGTGTCGTTCACTGTTCAAGAAGTCCCTTTATCCGAGGAGTTCATTAAAGTCTATGACGATTCAGTGAAGTTGTGGTTAGAGTGTCGACGACAATTCCAGGTAAGCGATAATTTTTCATTTCGATCGTGTCGTTTTTCCTTTTCGGTTTTAAAATAGATAATTTTGTTTGAGCCTGTTTCCAGGCAGTTTTGAGTGCCATGACAGGTGAGGAGAGATCGTCGTGTAAGCAACTTTGGGGACAGTTTTGGGCATGTCATCAGCGTTTCTTCAAATATCTCTGCATTGCCGCTAAGGTTTTTTTGTGGTTTCAGTTTTTTCCACTGATAACGTTACCGCTGATACTCTCACAGTTCGTGTTAAACTTTGGATTGCTTAGGTAGACACATGTGTCCAGATGGCTCGTGATGCCATAAAGGCGAACAAATGTGTAGTGATTGGATTACAGTCGACGGGAGAGGCTCGAACACTGGAGACTCTTGAAGAAATGGGTGGAGAACTAACAGAATTTGTATCTACAGCGAAGTGAGTTGATCAATGAACAGTTTTTTCGTCCTGTATATTTCCTGTATGTAATTCCTTATCTTTTTTGATCAGTGACTATATAGGGCTGTACTCCAAGGTTTAATAGAGAGGCATTTTCCATCTGATATCAGCAACGTCGATCTGTATTCAGGTTTTAACGTAGACGAAGATTTTTCGACGAGAAAAAGTAAGTCGAAAGATAAGCATAAGTTGTTCGTTCGTACAAAATTTCTTTGTTTGTAGAATATCGAGGCCATGAGTACGATTTCATTGAACAACTTGAATTCGGTCCGGGCTTTTCCGAGAGATCGCCCAATTCTTACAGTGAGCCTCGTGTAAGTTAGCTCAGCGATCGCCTTTCGCATAGCACTTCATAAATTTTCTGGTAGCAACAAATTCTGTTCTGTAGGCGAAGAAATTGCGTCAGGATGAGGATCAAAATTCTACAACATCTTCATCGGGTGATGATGACTATGGTGATCTAGATCTGGACTCGGGCGTTGAATATGAAATGGATGGGTCCGATGATGAATCAAATCATGGTACTGGTAATCGTCTTGCTGCTACATTCATGTGCAGAATGTCAGTCTTATTAAGATACCAGTGATGATTGGTTGAAAGCGCTTTTGGCCGAAGCTGCTTCTTCGAGCGATACCGACGACGACGACGCTGGTTCTGAGATGCAAAGCGCAAATGTATTAAGATGTTTTTCTTTACGTAAAGCTGCAAAGTTTTAATGTCAAGGTTTAATTTCTTCAAATGCACCTTTTATAAGGAAAAATATTAATGACTGCCGTCTGCTTGGTCAATGAGCGTTGGTGACATAGCATTTCTTCTGACACTATCAGGTGCTTTCTCGCAGTGTGAATGAGAAAATGGGGGAAGTGATATGCATGATATCTTATTCAATATGCTCAATATGATGTTTAATTCTAGTTTTGAAGCTATTCTTTACTGTGAAAATGATGAAATATTTTGGTAGAGTAACTTTTGCATATATCGAAAGGAGCGAGAAAGAGTTTATCACCTGCTGATCTTGTCGGTTGTCATTTATTTTTTAAAGGATAAAGAAGATCAAAAAACTAGTGGTGGAGAAGAAGAATTTAATCCGTTTAACTGTGACTTCACAGGTATTGTTGAAATTTTGTGCATATTTGTCTTGTAGAAGTTATGGCATGGTTTATTTTCTTTTCTAGATGATCCGTGGGCATCTAAGCAACAGGTTGTGGAAGACTTGCCAAAAAAGCAGAATTCGGTAATGAAGTTATTGAAATTTGTTGCTCATACCTTTCTAAATTCGTACTGTTTGTCATACGTTCATACGTTTTTTCCCATTTTGGACGAAACTATCGGAAGAGGAAGAAGAACTTCGTTTACGACGACGCGCTAGGCGAAAAAGACGGAAGAAGCGCATGAAAAAATTAGCTAGAGAAATGGAGATGAAGAAGAATCGTGAAGTACGTAGCGATGCAATGGTAAGTTCGGTTTTGAAATGCTATTCTTGTACTCAGTAACTTTCATTCTGTAGACTCAACGTTATAGAAAAGCTCGGCAACACAATTCCTATCGTCATCGCGGATTATCCATCCGGTGCTTAGCGAAAGTGTCAATCCGAAAATGATCAAGGTTTTTTTTCAGTTCAACATTTTTTTTCATCCAACTCTTTACTAGTGAGATTTTAGGCTGAATTGTTATCTGCCGTGGAACGACTCGGTCCTTCTTTACCTCCCAATACTTTGGATCATCTTATTGATCAGCTTGGCGGACCTGAATACGTTGCGGAAGTAGGTTCATATACTTATCGGAGTATTATTAGTCGCTCTACTGAAATGAGTTTGATACCTCGTTTGGAGTTCTATATTATGTTCGTTATTAGTTAATGATAGAACTTAGTTCAATTTGGTTCTTGTTTATCTGGTTCTTGGTTCTTTAACGAAATATAAGTTTGTAGATGACGGGTCGCAAAGGCCGCATCGTAACGAGGGATGATGGTGAAGTAGGGTATGAGTTGCGTCATGCTGGTGCGGATGTGCCACTGGAGTTGATGAATATGGACGAGAAGGATAAGTTTATGAAGGGTGAAAAGAAGATAGCTATTATATCGGAGGCTGCTTCAAGTGGAATTTCTTTACAAGTATGTCCGAAATTTGCATACCTGCTTGGATATCTCTGTATGAGCTGTGCAGCTAATTATGACGCCATTGCTTTTACGGCAATATTTTGATCTCTCTAATATAGTATTCCTATAGTTATTTTAGTCATTTATTTTATTTATTGCAACCTGTTATCATGTTGTCCTATCCTGTATTATTATTTATTTCGTTATTTGTTGTAACGTACCGTTTACCTTTTTATTATTTAATTCCGCCCATGTATTTTATTCAGTTTTTCGCATTTTTAAAACTTATTATAGTCTGATCACAATTATGCTGAGATATTTGCAAAACATGGACTCCAGCTCAGATTCGAACTCACGACTACCCTGGAAAGCTCACGTGTAACCCACTGCACCACTGAGGCCTTTGCTTTGTCTTTCTTTCACTTTTTTTTTCTTTACCGACATGGTGCTATCAGCCATCATCCATCAACGGATATGACGGGGAGAACGCAAATCGGCATTGAACCAGCCAAGTTAAGTTGAAGCTATAGTCGGCACCACAATGTTTAACTTTGTATACACTGCCTATTATTTTTTCACGGTAGTGTATTATGTGAAATATTGCATTATTATTTCGACTACAGCCTCAACTTAACTGGGTTCAATACCGATTTGTGCTTTTGAGATTAGTCCATTAACAGGTGATTGCTTGTGACACTGTCAGTGTAAAAATAATTGGCTGAGAGGAAGGTAAAATATGGGCCTCAGTTGTGCAGTGAGTAACACGTGAGCCACAGGAAAAGGTAATCGCGGGTTCTAATGGGATCTGAGGTTTACGTTTTGCAAATATCTGAGCATCATTTTGGTTGTATCCCACATAATACCCTGCCGTGAGGAAATGTTAGGCAGTAAATAAAAAGTTAAGCATTGACATTATAGTCTGATCGTCGAGCCAAGAACACGCGTCGTCGTGTCCACATCACATTAGAATTGCCTTGGTCCGCTGATAAAGCTATACAACAATTTGGTAAGTACCTTCAAGCTATAATTTGCCATAGTTGGGTGATTCACTGTCAAAGTAGTTTTTTAAAATTCCGAAGACTATAGTTTGGTACTGATTTGGAGTTCTGAAGTATCCGCAGTGTATTCTTCATAAGCCGGTCAGGTCGTTCCTTCTTAAACTTTGAAAATGATTGAGGTTCTCGAGGGCAAGAACTATTCAGTTAGCTCGATATCTAGAGTTTGTTCAGGTCGTACTCATCGTTCTAACCAAGTCAGCGCTCCGGAGTACATTTTTCTCATTTCTGAGTTGGCCGGAGAGAAGCGGTAAGTGGCTTGATACATTGTTGGGGTATCTCCACTAAACCTCAACACCGAAAGGTTTGCATCTATTGTGGCCAAGCGGTTGGAATCGCTCGGTGCACTTACTCATGGTGACCGTCGAGCCACTGAAACTCGAGATCTGTCGCAGTTCAATCTCGATACGCGGTATGGTCGTGATGCACTGGAAGTGTTGCTGAAATCTGTTACTGGAGCGTTGAGTCCACCACTTATATTACCACCTGCAAACTATAAACCGGGAGATTTTTTCCAGGGTGAGCTTTAGCGCTTTTTGTGGTATCATAATTTTGAATGTTTTTGCATAGATATGCGCCTATATTTGGAGGGAGTCGGTCTGTTGTCAAAACAACTTAATAGTGATTCTTATGTAATTGAACGAGAATCTGCTACCATTGCAAAATTCCTCAATCGGTAAGCGAAAAGCGGTTACACTTTTTTGCTTCTTTGTAGTGTTGAGCTCTCTTTTATTACATTTGTTTTCCTAGCATTCTGGGAATCCCTGTCCACGCTCAGAATGCTCTCTTCCACTATTTCACTGAAATTGTGGCTGAGTTAATTGCACAAGCAAAGCTAGATGGCACATATGATATGGGAATAATGGGTAGGTAATTTATTATATTCTTCAAAAGTATACGCTGTTAACTTGGATTGTCTTAGATCTGGGCACTGGAGGTGACCAAGTTCGTAAATTAGAGACGCGCGTATTTGTTGGTACAGCAGAAAAAGGCGGATTCCGGGTAGAAATGCAGAAGATTGGCGTCGAAAGAGGATTATCTTGGGAAGAAGCTTTCTCTCTTTACAAGGAACACAATTCCGATGAGGTTAGTATATTGTATAGGAGTACAAACATATACTAAGCGATTCTAGAAAATTAAATTCATCAGTTAGATGGCAGTCATTGCTGCAGTGTTGATTGCGTGGTTTATGCGTTACTGTTGGCATCATGCCTCATTTTTTCCCTGATTAAGAAATATTTAAGTTACAATTGTACTAACTTTGTTATTGTAATGATATCAAAATCGATGCCTTGGCTGTATTGTGAAATATTACATAGTGATAGGTAGTGTTAATGTAATGACATCATCTCAGGATGGTTTCTACGTTTCAAACTCCTCAAGTATCGGTCGTCAAGTTGCAGTTCTAGTTTATGGTATTGGGAAACGTCGTTTTGACACAGGAGCACGGTATTCGTTAACCCATTTATTTCCCACTAAAGTATTTATTTTTATGTGTACATACTTGTATATACATATGTGTACATATATGTATATCACCTGTCACCTGTATCACCTGTAGCCCCGTTGGTCGTCGAGTGACTCGAACGAGCGCCTGTAAATCTTCCATTTTTCCATGTCGCGTGCAAGAGTAACCCAGTGGGTTCTACTCGCTCTAGGAACTTTTCGGGCATCAAATCTTTCTTCAAGGCTCTTCATGAAGAATTCTGACCATCGGGTCGGTGGTCTTCCTGCAGTACATTTGAGATCCTGAGAAATCCAGTCACTAACGGCTGTCGTCCATCGGTTGTCATTCATACGCATTACTTGTCGGGCCCGCCTTATCTTCCACTGTTTGGCGTATAGAACGGCATCTTTTGACTTTTGGTCCTTGACGCAGGTCAAAGCCGAGGATCCCATCTCTTATTTGCGTGAAACGGGGTACTCCTAGCATTATCCTTTCGACTGCGCGTTCGATAACGCTGAGTGATCTTTCATCCTACTTACGCAGAGACCAAGTTTCTGACTCATACATTAGGGCAGGAAGTACCATTGAGTCGAAAAGGTGGGCACGGAGTCGGGTGTTCTTTGTCCTCTTCACTACATCTCCGATGCTCTTGAAAGCTCCCCAGGCCTCTGGTTTCCTTGTCCTCATCTCTGGAGCTAACTCGTTCACCATATTGACTTCCCGACCTAGATAGACATAACTGGAGCATTCGGAGATATTGGTTCCGTTGAGCGTGAATGGGACATACATAACCAATTCGTTCCTCATTTAACATCGTTTTTGTGACACAGTCGAAGACCGATCATTCCGCAGGCTTTATCAAAGTCGGCAAGCATACGTTTCGCTTGGCTAATGTTTGGTGTTCTAAGGACGATATCATCAGCAAAGCGAAGATGGTGTAACTGTCGACCATCGGTTTTGACTCTCATCTCATCCCATTCCAATGTTCGCATGACGTTCTTGAGTGCGGTGGTAAATAATTTTGGCGAGATGGTATTGCCTTGCGTAACCCCTCTTTTGACGTCAATGTTAACATCGCTGTAGAATGGTGATATCTTCGTTGTGAACTTTTTGTACAGCTCACGAAGAATCTTTATGTGCTGAGTGGGGACTCCTTGACTATCAAGTGCTTCCAAGACTGCTTTTATCTGAGTTGAGTCGAAAGCCTTCTATAAATCGATGGAAGTGAGACGGAGCGGTTTTTGTACTCTCGCGATACTTCACTAAGCCTTGTTATCGTGTCGATGTGGTCGCGAGAGTAAATCCTTTCGAAACCTTGCTTGCTCACATGACTGTCCTTCGTCTAGTGTTCTGTCAATCCTGTTCAGGATGGCTCGAGCGAAAAGTTTGTAGACGACAGACAGCAAACAGATTGGGCGATAGTTGCCGATATCGTGTAGGTTACCCTTCTTGAACAACAACACGGTCTTGCTGGTTTTCCACTGAGTGGGGACTTTGTATTCAGACAGATAACTTGTGAAGACCTAGCCATTTTGTTTACGTGGACTGGCGGAAGGTTCTTCAAGTGTTCAGGTCTTATCCTATCCGGACCTGGTGCTGTTCGATTTTTCACCGACGAAATGAAATGTCGGATTTCGAAGGGAGAACCGCTGGCACAACATATCCATCCTTCATTATTTCATATGACGGGAGCTGGACGTGGTTATCGGGGAGATCTGAGTAGTATTCGTGAGTGATTTTCTCCATTGCCTTTCTGGACACTTCAACTGTTCCGTCTGGGCGTCGGAGTGCAATCATTTTGGTCTTGTAATTGGTGAAGCTTCGGTAGCCTTTGGGAATGCTTTTCCTACCCTCTGCAGCTTCGACCATTACTGCTGCTGTTCTCTCTTTAAGATCTTCTTTTATCGCCTATCTGCATTGTTTTGCAAATTCGGACGTTAGTTCGCGGTTGCCTGCATCTCGTGCGATTCCACGCTGGCGTATCAGCTCTAGTGTTTCTGGAGACAGACGTCTCTTGCTCACTTTCGAGCTCTCAGCTTTCATACCGCTAACGTGAATATGTCGAATGAGCCGATCGTATTCTTCATTGATGTTGTCGGAAGCAGCTTCTTCCCAACAGCTGACTAATGAATTGAATAAGTCCCAGTTTGCGGTTTCGGTTTTGGAATTTAGCGGCTTTTTCTCCTTTCAGCGAAAGATAGAATCTAGCACAAAGGAGACGGTGGTCTGATCTTGTGTAGAATTTTGGGGCAACAGCGACATCGGTTAGGCAAAACCTTTTGTTTAATATGATGTGATCTATTTCGTTATGGTACTCTCCATTGGGAGACTCCCACGCACGGCGTTGGGGATGGGGCTTCTGGAATTGCGAGTTACCATGGATTGTTTTCGTCGTTATGATAAACTCAGATAGCCACTCACCCTGTTCGTTCCATTCCAATTCATTGGTCCCAATGTAACGTTCTTCAGATGTTCTTCTTGGTCCAATCTTGGCATTGAAATCTCCAATGATGACATTGACGAACGTGTGGTCTTCTCTGTAGAACTTCTCCAAGTTCATCTAGAACGCTTCGACTTCTTCTTCGTCATAGTTTGATGTTGGTGCGTAAACAACGAAGATTGTCAAAGCCGCTGTTGATCCACGTCTTTTTAATCGTAAACGTCCGATTCGGGTTGTAAGCTGTTCCAATGAATCGATGTTCATGGACAAACTCGTGTTGACGAGAACGCCGACGTCGCCGATTCCTATACCGTCGCATATTTCAAGAAACAGTTCTTCTCCGGTGTCATAGACGGTGTTGAATAGGTGGCGTCGCCTCGTCTCGGCCAGGCCGATGACGTCGTACCTTATCCTTTTTGCTTGCATGAGCAAGTCTTCTATCGAGGTCTCGGATGGAAGTGTACGTGCATTGTAAGTACAGATCGTAATCAGAGTTCTTTGTAATCCAGGCAGTTTCCATTGGCCTTGAGATTTTAGCAGCCTCTCCATACTTGTCCTACCCAACACTGCGAAATTGGGGCTTTTTCGGGGTCAGGGGATTGAGACTCGTTTTCTTTATTGTGTTTAGCATTTTGATACCCACGCATGGCTTGCTGGATTCTGAACGTGGGGATTGGGTATGCTCACGAGTTGCTTGCCAGGCTCTCCCGGAGTGGACATGGAGCTTTTTTGTTGGATGCGACTCCTAACCGCCTTCTATATACTTCCTAGTCGCTTCATTGCAGGCTTTTGGCCGAATTGACTCGTAGGATACAATCCACATAAGCAAGAACGCG